GGCAAGAACTGGCCACTGGTCCAACGTTCAAAAGGGGTTTCGGTGATACCCCAAGGGTCCAAGTACCTAATAATCATATATTCTCCCAAATAGAACCTACATAACTATATCCGAAACCTAAGCAGCTAGTTATTGGGTCCCTTGGACCCTTGGCGATATACACTGAGGCCATGATGCCCCCCATGGCGCGAGAGAAGAAGAGCTCGCACCGACGGAAGTGAGTGCGCGCCCGTCTCGGCGTCGCTGTCGCAGGCTAGGATGTACTCAAGTACTACCTGGACCCTCAAAGTATGTAGAATAATTGTTTTTTAATAGGTTTGGGCCATGATTTTACTTATTTCTGTCGGAGGTCTAGGTAATGGCTGCTAGGAGCAAGGCACATCCTCGTTGTCGGTATCAGGAACGGTTGTTGGTTGCTGGCACTTGCCGAACTACCGGAACCGGCCCGAGACGATTTCTACGCACGTACCCACATTCAAATGTGCAGTCAGTGTTAGAAGTATACCTTGTACATATACATACATATATATATATATGTATACGATTATGTATATACGAATGTGCTTGTACACATATACACAATTGCACATCTCATGTATTTATGAGACAGGGAGGGCAGAGGGGTGTGTGCCTCGGAGATCCCCGGGGTGTAGGGATGCGATGCACAGCTGCCCGACGACTAAAAAACGCGGCCTTCGCTTGCGGGTGTGCTTGACAGAACTTGGCTTCTGTCATTCGGTAGAACATTGCCATGCCAAGCAAAGCTTTCAATAATGGATTTTGGCATCTGATTGGCCTTGCAGATGCTGCAGCCTTGCCTTCTCCTCGAGCCATGTCTGGTTGTTCGGCACTTTCGTATGACCTGCGAGGCTGAAGCTAGCATGCACTCATTTGTGAATCGTTTTCTCGGCAGCCCATGGTGCATAAAACTTCTCTGCCAAGGAGGCAACTGCATCTGCACATTGGCCAAGGTATTTGCACGCCTAATTCTGCTTGCTTTGCGAATTCATTCATGCTGCACGCACTTCCACCCATCCGCCACAGCGCCTTTGCCCAGAACTCGTCTTCCCTAGTGGGCCCAACAGCCCACCGGCATTCCTGCTTTAGCAATCGCGGAATAAAGTCAAGTCGTTGGGGGAGGTGCCATCTAGATGAGCCTGCGACCATGCAAATACACCTACATAACGTATATATACTTTATACATATATATATGTATATACATGTATACTTATTCACTTACTCATTTGCCTGAACTGTTCTTGTGCTGTCCTTTTTCAGCCGCACGGGCATGCCGGGCCTGACGCCTTCCAATTTCAGGGACGTAAGTGTAGGGGTTGCCAGGTACACGTTGCACTGAGTTTCCGAAAATCAGGGGCATCTTGTTTTGGCGTCCTCAAAACAAGGATCCTAGTATTTAGCCCTAAACCCTAAACCCTAAACAGCCCAGGCTTGCACACTCACTCCGATAAGGGTCAGACATTTACATCCTCTAGGATATCGCGGCCAATTACTAGAACATGACGAGGCCCTAGCCGTAACCCTCATAAGATTCCAGGATCGAACGCGTTATCATGTCCCAAAAGGCTCCTAAGTACCTGTATCGTTGAATCCCCCAAAACAGTACCTAGGACCCTTTGGCCCTTATTAAGTTATAGATCCCTTATAGTAATTAGCCGTTATAGACCCCTTTAAGGGACCCCTTGGGGAAGTATTCCCCATAACAGTACCTAAGACCCTTTGGGTTTGTGACAAGGCCTCGCAGGCGGATCGGTTTGAGGTACAGCAAAGCGGAGACCTCTGCGTCCCACACCACATCCATGAGCAAGTGAATGAATGTCCGAGGGTCTCTCTAGGGCTGCAGCTTTCAGGCGGAATTCCGGCAGCCGTAGCTGCTGGATGGGATTCCTTTGTCGAGCAAACATTCTTCCATGAAAGGCCCATTTCCTTGCCAGCGATGTATTTTGGGACCGTCAAGCCATGTATCGCCCCATCCATATCTGACGGGGACGATGTCTCTGAATTCGCCAGACAATGGTGTAGAGTTGGACTCGGAGAAACACATCTAAAAGGGCATCGCAATTCTCCAACTCTGCATGTGCCTTGCCAGAACGCTTCCAGTGTTCAGCCCTTCCTGCCGATGCATACGCCACTGCACCAATACTTCCACGCCGTTTTACGTCAAGCCTGTTACCTACTTTGCTTTTCATGGATGATGAGACTACTCAGACCTTGTTTTTGCTGGTGAGCTCTTCTCCTGTAGTATTGCGGCCTTACTAAGGACCTATTATAATATGTTGGGGGTTCCTTATGATACCTATACATAGCAGAATGGACCCCAAAACCCTATTCTAATCACTAAGGCCCCCAAAATATAGAATCCGACTACAGCTCCCATATAGACCCCCGTGAAAGGACCCCTTAAATTAAAGCAACCCTATTCTACTTGGCAAGGCCCCTATATTACACCCTGCCGATCTCCCGAAAGCCTTCGACCCGCACAGCTGGACACCCACCTCCCCGAGCTTTTTGACTGACGAAAGAGCTGCCGTAAATAGCGGTAGTCAGCGCCTCGGTTCCTGGCATACGCATAGTCCAGGTGTAAAAGGGTAGTCAGCTCGAGAACCATTCTAAGCTAGTGATCTCGTTCTGTGTCTGGCCTTGTTCGGAGAACAGGGGTTTAGGGTAGGCTCCAAAATCCGCAACCCTGCCCCCTGAAGAGTTATCCGAGTTAGCTTTGAGCAGGAGGGGCTGTGCAAAACGGGGCCCCTTGCAAGAGGCAAAGTGATAGGCAGGGTTCATATAGGGTTCTGCAGGACGTGATTTCCGGCAGGTGGCAGGGTTGAATTGCATTAAATGTGCTGCGCACAGGACTTGTCATCCGAAGTGCTTGAACCCAATCCTGTTCCAAAGTCTGCGAAGCTTGGCAGGTAGATAGGGACCTTCAATCCACGTTACAAGCTCAAATCTAGCGCCAGACCCTCTAGGCTAAATCAAAAGGCGTCCACGCCTTCGTGCCTTCTCAATGATGCACAGAGATCAGGACCTGAAGTGCAAGGGGTTTTCCAGCGGATGATTTATGTGACATGTCCAAGACCATAATCAAACGGCCTTGCAAGGAGTCGCGCCTTGTTCGCATAAGTTCTAGCAGCACTTGCCATTTGTTTGGCCCAGCTCGGGGCTTCGGAGGAGACGTGTCTAGGCATGATATTGCTGATATACTACGCAGTACGGTTTGGTAGACTACTGTAGTGTACATCATTCTGACCTTGCTCTTATGACTGGGTGCCCTGTTATGTGAGTGAGGGAGATATGGGTTTGAAGCCTTTTCCGAGTTGCGGTTTGCCCGGTAGATTCATGCGAGACTGTTGTGCCGCTGACAGTTATCTCAAGCTGTCATCGTCATCAGGAGCGACATAATGTCAAGGTGGCATGAGAGAACTGTCAGGAAATATTCGACTTGCCTTTACAGCGGACAACCCCTCGCTCGCTATGCTAAGACACGGCTCCTCCCCTCTTGGCCTATGGACCAACTCCGAGCCGACTTTAATTACACTATGGCCCGGCGTGGCTCTTGCAGGAACAGAGATATCAAGCGCGCGCTGCTTGCCTGCTTCAGAGCAGAGCTCAGATCGTTCGCCCCGGATGATGCGCCCGGAAAACTCTACGGCGGACATTTTCTCCGTAATCAGTACGAAATATTTAACCTTTTGGGGTTTATAAATATATATATATATATATATATATATATATATAATTATATATATATATATATACACACATAAACCTACCAAACTCGAACAGGTTATTTTTTTTTGGCTAGGGTACGCAGCCCCTAAGTATCATAAGGAAAGGAGCTGAGGCTCGAGAGCCCAGCGGCGTAGCGAAGCCCATGGTTTGTATATAGGCTTAAATAATCCCCGAATTAACTACCTTACAGCTAACTGTAATAGGAGCCTCAACAATCACGAACACTATTTTTTTGGGGGGGGTCCTTTTCGTAAGTGCAGTATAATGGGCCCCAAAACCCTATTCTAATTATCCTTGAAGGAGCTCTGAAGCTTGTGCAGTGCTTGTGTTCGGGAGAGGAGAAATACATACTCTTTGTGGGCAGATGCTGGTAACCCACGCATAGTCTCTACTCGGGCCGAGATGTCAGCAAAACAAGTTTTGCCAGCATTCCGCCACATGCACAGTGTTTAAACTGGAACACTGGCGGGGAACGAGATTGGCCGTGTTGATACGGTTCCTATTGCACGCGACTCCCAAAGGTCCGACAGCCAGCTATTGTTTTTGCCTTAATGAAGTTTGATGCATAGGTGTCGCAGCGCAATGGATGGGCTTCTCCACATCGACGATTTGCCATGCCACCAGCGAGGATAGTGACAGGTCCTCGCAGTCCGTCCTGCCGACTCTTGACTGTCCGGTTGCTTTGAAAGTGAGTGTAACTCACGATCCCACGACACAGTCGCGTTCTGTACTGCATGTAAATGCTATGCATCACTTTAACCATTTTTGGGTAGTATAGTCCCTATATAATCCCTATATAACCCAAAAAGGTTAACCTTTAGTTCCCCATGATACCCGACAAGTAGGCTATGTATCAGTGGGTCACGATCCGTCAGGAGAAGGCTGCTCTGGCCAGAGCATGAGAGGACAACGAGGGCAGCTAACCAACTCACAGCCAAGACTATGCAAGCGCAACCTGGAAAAGGTACGTATGTGCCTAGGCCCGCCTTTCTGCATGATCTATAGTGTATGCTTTCGACCAGTGTGGAAGATAGAAGACCTCTCGACATGCCACTCGTAACCTAAACGACCCTGCAGCCGGCACGCCGAGTTTGGACTACCTAAGCCCGAACTCCTCCTAAATTTTGACTAGCAGGGAGAAGGGAGGGGCCGCCAACAACACAGCCACCAATTTCTTTGCCAGGGAGACGAGGGGAAATTCGAAAGCAAAAGCAGCGACAGCAATCCTGAAAAGGGGACCCAGAGCCCGGAGGTGTGGCGCCAGTGCTCCCTGATGCTGGCGGAAGTCGCACTTGACGCTGCTGTGGGCGCCTCACGGTTCTGGGGTTTACGTTTATGGGTTTACAGGGTTAAGGGTTTAATGGGTTTACGGGTTTAATGATATCATGGGCTTACGGGTTAAGGGTTTCAGGGTTTACGGTTTATAGGGTTTGTGGTTTTGGGGCTTTCGGGGTTTAGGGTTTGAGCCAGGTCAGTGCAAGTTTCTGTGACGGTATGGAGTGCGGTGCAGTCTGTGGTGAGATCACAATCTGAGTTAGTCATTCTCTCAAATCTCCACGCTTTGAGTTGGATGATGTTGATGATTGATGACTAGTGACTATACGCTGCTGAACGGAGGATGATCTGAGCATGTATAATCGTGGTCGCAGTGGGGTGATACGTAGTTGTACAGTATAGGTTGAGGAGGAGGAGGAGGAGGAGGAGGAGAAGGCGGAGGAGGAGGAGGAGGAGGAGCAGTGCACGGTAGCGCCTCGTCGTCGCTATTCGTGCAGTACTTGTGGTTGAGACAACGGAAGTCCTAGTGCAGCTCAGCCTTAAGGTCTATTTGCCTGACGTCTCCATCCCAGAGCTCTCCATAGACGAGGCCACGCTGCTTCTGCCCTCCGGATGCTTTCAGGAGATCCTCATACTGTAAGTTGGCGCGAGTCGCCTTTGGTCGGTAGCATGCGGCGTTTCTGGCCCGTTTCCCGTGACAGCATAGCAGTGCTTCGAGTTCGGTCATTCGAGGATCCGGGGGCACGATGGATGAGTCGGTGCGCCAGGCGGAAATGTCCTTGCCGCCCGCCTCTTGCTCCTCCTCTTCGTCTTCGAGCGCCGGGCAGTTGGCCAGGGACTTAAAAGGGGCACGAAACCCGAAAATCTGCGAAAGGACCAGAGCTCGCAAGGAACGGAACCAAAACACAACTCCTCCGCCTCATTCCTCATATAGGCGGACATCGAGGCTACTTGTAGCATGACTCGGAGTCCCAGCTTGCGTGTGAAAAGTAGGTCACAGATGTAGAGAAAGAGCGGGAGTTGTTGAAGTGGATATAATATAGGTCAATCTTTCGTCAAGTCACCTCCTGACTCGTCCCTATTGGGGATTGCTGACCAAAGATTTTTACTCTAGTCGAGTTGAAGCTGAATCCGCCGCAGGGACACGTCCAAAAACCTTGCACGGTTGAACAGCGCGAAGCGAACAATGGAACCATCAGTGCCTGTTTCGCTGCGGCTCACGGCAGGGCTACCGGCAAGTCAGCTGACAGAGTCGGACTTGTTTAGCTCATGGCTTTGAGCCTTCTTTGATCGTGTCAGATTCCACAGAAGATGTCCGGCCGCCAATTCTTGCCGCTGCTAGTACTGGCACAGGTCCTTTCTACCTGGGGCCAGTCCTCGGCCTCCCACGAAGAGTGGCGAGCGGAGAAAGTGGCAGCAGCTAACTCGAGTGCAGCGGCTGCCGCGGCGATTGCATCTCAATATTGCCGGACAGCAGTGGCCTCTCCGGCAATTGATGAGGCAGCAGCTCAAAGGAGTCTCGAAGCAGGATCTGGATGGCGAGACCTCATCTTGCGCCTCTCAGACAGGGCCAAACAGGCCGAGGAGACAGGCGAGTGGTCGCTGGACGAAACTCTGGACCCAAGCTTTTTTCTCAAGGAAGCTTTGATTGTGGTGCTGGCGTTGATACTGTGTGTGTTCTGGCTTCTAGCTTCTTGGTTCGTGCACTGCCCCTGCTGCTGCCGCTTTTTGTGCTGCTGCTGCCAGCGGAAGTGGAGCACGGGGAGGGTGTTCAAAGGCATCGCTTGGCTGCTCTTCTGCACTTTGGGCGTTGCCGGTGTGGTCCTAGCATCGCGGGCCCTGACGGGAGCCACATACACGGAGGACGGTGTGGTGGGCTTCAGGTGCGCGAGCAGCACCTTCGTCAGGGACGCGCTTGGAGACCCGGACGGCCCGGAAGCAAAGAGCCGGAGCGGATTCTTAGCAGTGAGGAGCAGCCTTGTCAGCTTGACCGAGCTGCTCGAGGACGGCTCCGTCTTCTCCAAAAACTTGACTGCCATCCTCGATCGAACGTCTGCAATTGAGAGTGCGGCAGCTCTTGCTCATGGCTTGCTCGCTGCTCTCATTGACAACATGGCGGAAGCGGAGAACACAGAACCTGTTGATTCCAGCGGGGTGACCTTGTATCACAAGTGCCAGGTCTGTGGGCCCTTGAAGGAGCTTCTCACCGAAACATCCGAGCTCTTAGGTGCCAGTGCGGGCATGCAGATGCGAGCACTACGAAGTCAGGCCGAGATCTGGCAAAGCGAGGTCACCGTTGACCTCCGCGAAGTTCTCAGGCGGGACAGAAATTAGGGACCCCCAAAAGCACATAAGCATAAGCATTTTATAGGGATGTCCATATCTTATTGGGCTTCATTATAAGGGGGGTTATATGAGACATCCCTATACTAATTTTTGCTTAGTTGCCTTTTTGGGTCCCTAAGAAACGGGCTAGACTCTTAGACTTGGGTCCGTCCATATCAATGCGCGCTTTCTGTATATTGAGGGTAATGAGCAATGTCAGTGTCATTGAGTCGGGAGGTTGAGTAACGGATCGCCAAAACCCCGGAGTGGGAGAAATCACCGATTCGGGTGGCTGTCGGTGTCATGCTTTTAGCTGCGAACTGAACCGATCATATCGATGCAAGATACAGATGACGGGAAGCTTAGGCTTGTCCTTCCAGGCAAGCGCTGGAGACATCCGACCTAGCCATGGACACGATCGTCTACGACTATTGGAAGACACTACGGGGCTATGATCTCCGGCACCTCGGGCAGTCTCTGGAGCACCTGCCCTCGTTTCTGCCGCTGCTGGTCCTTGCTCCTCATGCATACTATTTCGTACTGATGATCTTCGCAGGGGTCGGCCTCAGCGTGTGGTCAGTCAAAGACAGGAAGGGCGAGAAGCCAGATCACTGTTGTGTCCGGTTTTGCACGGGGCGAGCCGCAGACTGCGCATGCTGGCATGCCATATGTCTCCTCATCCTATCGGGAGTCGCGATGACTGTGGCTGTGGTTGGAAGTGGCGTCTGCCTCGTTGTGATCGATGCTGGCAAGGAAGCCGGTGCAAACCTGCTGCTGGCCTCCTGCGGGGCCCGGGACTCTGAGAATAATTGTCACAGATATGTAGAAGTGTCCGGCAGCATGCTGTCCTGTCTGACTACAACCTCCCAAAATACCAGCATCCTGGACTTCATTGAGGTTCCTCCCGCGAATCGGACAGTCCAGCACGAACTGACGACTTCTATGGACCCTATTCTTCTGCAGATGCATGCTGTGGCAGCATCGGGCACGGCTAAGCTCGCCGAAAACCCCAAGGTCACGGACCTTCTGGCCATGATCGACGCGCTTGATCTGAAGGCTTTGTACCTCCCCATAGAGTCCAAGATTTCAGGGAGCCCCTTTGAGGCCATGACAGCCGATATCCCGGGGCTCGAAGGTCAGAACCCCTTCAGGGCCTACCTGGCGACGAGCGTCTCCTGCCTCAACGTGACCTTGAGCTCATCTCTCAAAGCTGTGGGCAATCGGTCTATACCAGGCATCGATGCTATGGTATCACATGGGTTTTCCGGTGTGCCGCCGCTGGCAACCTACATGGATACAGTCTCGTACTCCTGTCCTACAATCACCAGTCACACGTGCACTGCCGGCCCGACGCACCAGGCTTGCGATGCCTCCGTGGCATTTGTGAACACCATCAAACAAACCATTGCAAAAGATGCGGTGTTTAGATGCTCCTACCTCCTGCAAGGACACAGCGGCGGGCAGTCGGCCAGTGAGTCTTTCAGTGATGGCAAGGTCTCAACGGTATGGAAGGCTTGTAGCATCATGGAGTTCGAGACGCTGATAAAGGGAGCCGCAGGGGACTTGCACGCAGCTTTCAGGCGGCTTGATGAGATTGCTGCAGGGCTCAGGGGTGACTTTTTCAAGCTGCGGGACTTGGTCCAGACAGAGGCAGGGCTCTCCAAACGTTTCCGGGGATGGTGTGCGCTAAGACCAGATTCAGAGCAAGCTGAAGAGATTGCAGCCGCCCGACTTAATTAAGAAACCCCAGGTTGCCAATCCGATCTCCGCGCTCCAGCAGAGCAATAATTGCCGAATCCATCACAACAACTTCAAGGCCATGTCGGGCAACCTGTGCTACCGTGGCATGTATGGGCTGAACATGATTGTCACCAGCTACGTGATGTCGGGTCTCCTGAGCCTTGGCCTTGGCTTGATACTCCTTACCGCCTGGAAGATTTCGAGAGACAACGCAGACACGCACAAGCCCATCGTCGTAGCGCCAGCTTCTGTTGAGGAAGACCTGCCACTTTTTGAGAACGCAGCCGTTACAGCATCAACCCGGTTTGGGGAAGACCACTTCCGAATCTAATGTAGGTGGCTTTTCTGGACGCATACAATCGAGCATTGATTACAGAATGTAAATATAAATATAGTACTTAATTACTATACAAATACAGCAGCTATTCAGCCCCCCCGTGGTGGCTTCAGTCAGCGAAGTCATTGAGTTGTCGGATCCTTCTCACACCACCTGGTCCTGCGCACCACATACGCTGGTGCTCGTTTATCTGCATGCCGATTCTCCACAGCTAGTGATTAATTAAGGTCCGCGAGTACCGATGCTGTGGCGAAGTACAGAGCATGGAATTAGTCATGCAGTTGTCATGTAACTGCCACCGGATGGTCTGAACCAACCGAAGAGTTCCGGGTAAAGCCTGTTTCCTGTCCTGGTGGCTTGGGCAGAACGTGAGGATGGATACATGAAGCTGTACAGAGGCGCTGTGCAATTTCGGAGCACGGCATGTGTTTTACGCTAGTGCTCGCACGTCCTGATGACAGCAAGCCGAGAAAGTTCATGCATAGAGACCTCCGTCACAGCACCCAAGAACCCTAACCTGCCACCCACGGCAGCGTCTGGTTCGCTGAAACCCTCGATGGGCTGACCTTGCAGACCGCAAAGCCTCCAGGTAGGTCCTCCGGATGACCTTCAACCCTAGAAGCCCCTGGGTGACTGTTCTGCGATGAAGATCCCGCACTGGATTCTGGTACTTCGCTGCCTCTATGGTTAGAATACAGACTTGGGCGGAGGGGGGGGGGGTATATCATGCCATGATTGCATATCAACATGCTGCTTGAGGCCCGGATCCAGTTCGGTAGCCGCCTGATTCCTCGGCCTGTGCCGGCACGGGACTTGGATGTGACAGTGTTCCGATAATTAGGGATGCCTTGTTTTGGAGTCCTTATCATGAGGATCCTACTATTTATATAGGGTACTGTGTTAGGGTCCCCTATTCATTTAGAAACTCCCAAATCAATCGTTTGAGCAGGTGAGGATGGGACTGTCCTTTGTTGGTTTCGGTCTGTGCATTTGACTTTGGCCGTCATATCTATAGGGTGCCTTTGGATGCTACTGTCAGCGTCGTGGTTCTGCATTCTGTAGGAAAGAAACACGGCGGGGCTGCCTACCAGACCGCGAACAATTCCAAGCAGGTGACCACGGTAGAAGTGACAGGTGTAGTTCAGGTTGTCCACGATACATGCCCCTTTCGAGGTATTGTGTTTAGATGCAGGAATCGAAACAACCAGCAGCTACCTCGTTGGAAGGAGACTTATGGTGTAGCTGTCGAGATTGAAGAGTCTGTGGGGTCCGTTTCTAGAATCTGGTAACAGTCATGCGCTGGCATTCTTTGAAGCTTTGGTTCAAGGACGTGACGAATCCGTCACTACCAAGCGAAGGCCCGCACCCCTGAAGCCACAACCAGCATTCAGCCCTGCGCTATCCTACAGTCCTACAATTTATAGCTCCTAAGCTCTTCAAACAACCCTAACTGGGACCCTAACCCTAAGCCCTTATAAACAAGCCATACATGCTAAAGGGGAATTCCGAAATTAGGGGTACCTGATTTTGTTGTCCGTATACTAAGGATCCCGCTATTTAGGGCATCGTGTTAGGGTCCCCCATTTTCGGAAGCTCCCATGTACACCCCAAGACGCCCTTCCAGACCAAGGCTGCGGACCCGACCCACGAGGGAGTCCCTGGCTGAGGGCGCTTGAAGGGCTGTGCTGTTGTGTGTTCAGAGAGGGCCAAGTCCTCTGTCGGCACCTTATATATATATATATATATATATATGTATGTAGATATAGATAGATAGGTAAACATATATATATATATATATACACACGTAAATACATAAATGTTTATTCCTTTGTTGGTTGTTTGTGCTGTAAAAATTAGAGCATTCGTGGGAACATACTTGGTGCAGGGGTCGCCACATGCAATTCGGGCAAGTAGCCTTCGAGCTGACAGATTGTAATGCAAGCATCACACTCACGCAGTCCCTGCAGGTTAGGAATTACTATTATGACTTAGGGAAGTATCCCCCATAACAGTACATAGGACCCTTTGGGCTGCGGGGTGGGGCTGGCACCGTAAGGTCCAACGGCTCTGCCAGTGGAGCCGAAGGCGGAACGATCTCGAAAGCCCCGCTGCGATATCATTATGTATATATATATATATATATATATATATGTATATGTATATGTATGCATATATGTTCAGATGGAGGTGTTGGGACAGTTGCGGTGCAGTCACTTCCGTATAGTGCATACTAAGCGGATTCAAGCACGCTTTGCCTGGTCGGAACATAAATACAACTGCAGATCCACGCTAGTCAACCGAACAGCCTCCTTGCCTGCAGAGTCCGAGTTGCGAGAGTCAGCCATGTTCTTGAGCTTTGTGTCATAGGGACCCTTAGAGGGTAGGAAGGGTAGGGGACTACACTTCCTTAAACCTTATTAGGTAATTATTACGGGCATTAAGGCCCCCTGCCCCCCTAAGTGTCCCTATGAACTTTGGCAGGTTATGGAGCGCGTCCTCACGCTTCGAAGCACGAGCCCCAGTTGGCAACTCTTCGGTTCCTCCCGTGAGTCACTTGTGGTGAACCCTATCTGGACCCTCAAAAGTTATAGGTTTTGGGCCAGTATTTTACTTACTTTTGGGGGCCTAGGTAAAAAACTGACAGCTCCTCAAATCCCCTTCAGCCGAAGCCTCCTTAAATCCCTGCGCAATTATCGGCTGTGTCCTAGTCGAGCTGCTTGTTGGCCTAGGCCTAGTCTCGGCTGCCAATCTGAGCTTGCTACCGCTTATGCTGGTGCTGGTGCTGGTGCTGGTGCTGGTGCTGGTGGTGATGAGAAATGGTGGCCGGATTTTTCAAATTATCATCATTAAGTGGTGTTGACTGTGGCGGCTGCTATATTTGCCATGTTTGTTTTGTGCTGTTGTGCCTTCTGGTTGTTGACAAAACCATCGTTGTTCTTCAGGCTGCCTGATACAAACTCCGAACCCATAGGCGCGATCCGGAGCCTTTGCCGAGTGCTGCCCTCAGCTTGAGTCGCGCTGGTACCAGTAGTATTTGGGGGAAGCCGTGGAGGGAGCCAGTCGTAAAGCAGCTAAACCCTAAACCCCAAACCCATCTCAACTCTCAGCAGACCCGACTACCCAATGAGCAACAGGGCAGTCGTAGCCTGATGGAATATCGCGAGCCGGCATGTGCGGCAATTTGTAGTTTTGGAGTTTGCGGATCAGGCGTACTCCAACCCCTAAACCCTAAACCCTACCGCCCATACTTTTTTCCTTTCGCCTCGCTTCCCGAGTTGGCTGAGGTTGGCCCTCCTCTGCGGATCCCTACTGACGTCTGTGTGGCTGCCTCATTGCATGCAGACTTCCGCACATACACAGAGATCGACGTACTTCCGCTCACCTAGTCGTACTGATTATACATGCATGCATGCTTGCATCCATCCGCCCATACAAATATGTTTGCATGCATCATACATACACCTACATACGGACATACACAGCCTTTTGCGATGTATGACATGTAGATGCCTATCGGTTTGGACCGGTTGGTCCTGTACGGAAGGACACCGTAGCCACAGCAGTGGTAATGTTCACATCCATGAAGGGTGTTAGTTAGAAGACTTCACTATAGACTTATTTGGGTTGGCTTCATCTCAAGGAAGACTCCCTGCTGCAAACAAAGCCAACTGACTTCAATGCAGATTCGTTTCAACACGCTGCAATTACTATTACAATTTCGATAACCGCAAAACTCGAGAACTCTCTGCTACCCAGGCCTGAGGAGGCTGCATCGACTTGGCTGTGGCCTCAAACGGAGCTGAGGTTGAAGCGGCTTCAGAGGTTTCGCTTCCGGTGTTTGATCTCTGGGGTGATACCTGAGCGTCTGTGGAATGAGCTGGAAAGCACGAAACATTATCGAGGCTGATGCCTTAGGGCCTTCGCCTTTTCGTCATGTTGCAGCTTGAACGAGACTCAACCCTCTGGAGCACATAAGCAGTGTGGCACATTACGTCAAACAGTTTTTTGCAGTTGGACTCCAACATCGGCGGCTTTCCTGAGCTGAGAGGAGCAAGCCGAATAATCTTGAAGCAAGATGGAATGTCGCCAAGAAGAGTGTGAGCCATCTGTCCTAGATGTGATTGAGGTGGCCCAGACGACAGCTTTCTGACATGTGGGAGGCATTGGCCTCGGATTTTCGTAGCATGACATTCGCAACCAAGACATGTTTCAGTGACATTTTCGGCGCAAGTTCGACATGACCGCAGAGGACCTCAAATGCATCATGTCTGCAACGACTGTCTCAAGTGGGAGCCACTACTGTCACCACCATTTCAAAGATGATCGCTGGTATGGTGATGTTCACAAAGCGGTCCTGCGACGCGGAACATAGGCAGCGTCATGGTCATAGTGCCAGTGTGGTGGTCGGTAACATGCCAGGCTGTCTGCTCGGGCCTAGTGGATAGCTCGGCAGCGGAGGCTACCCCGTGCACATATGGGGGTTTCCGAAAAAATTCCGAAAATAGGGGACCCTAGTATAGTACCCTAAAACAGTAGGATCTTTACTATGAGGACCCCAAGATAAGTAGCCCTAATTTCGGAAACTCGCATATCTTGAGCATGTTGCCACAGTTTCAACAACGTATCCGGGATAGGTTCTTGCAATAGCTGCTGTTGAACGGCTGCGTTCAGAAGGCGTATAGCAAGATGTGGAATTTCGGAGTCTCTCCTGCAAAGAAGGGTGCCAAGAGACAGATTGATTGGTGTGAAACGGTGAAAGGGATCGAGGATGAGAAACTTTACACGGGTGTCTGCATGCCACGGCATCTCCACGCCCGTTCAGAGACACCGTGTCCAGAGATGAGGGACTGTGAAGACAGTGCCGAGATGCAGTGGGAACATCAGTCATGTGTACTAAACGAAGCAACTGTGCTGTTCATTGCAGCTATACGTTTAGAGAGTCCTCATATACACGTACGTTTCAAGATATAGTTGTAGTTTCTAATTACTAATTACATTTTTTGACTACAGAGGTTGGATGATTCTGCATGCTTGAAGGTGTTATTGGCGACCTGTTGTTTTGGCTTGCAGCTGTTGCCCTCACCTGCACCCTTCCGTGAGAATCCAAACTGCACCACTCAATGCAGTGAAACTGCACACTGGCAAGTAGATCGTTCTTGTCCACAGAACCCATATCCTGCACCGCCTTTATATACATGCATTGTACTGCATGTGTTAAGACATGGACAATCGAAGCCTTTCTGTGGAGCGTGCGGGCATGACCGCACACAACTGCGACAACTTGCTGGCCAAGCTAGCCGTCGAGGGCCCATTTGTGGACAGCGACTGCTCCTTTCCATGTTTAGACCTGCAGATGCTCAAGCTCCAACCCCAGGGCCCATAACCCCTAGACCCCAGCCAGTGACCATAGCACTTGTTGGGGCCTGCGGCCTGGGATTGCCAAAGACAAGAGCCTCCGAGACGCTGCACCTGAACGGAAGATACCGAATTCAAAGTGCCCTGAAGCGGCCCGCCCTATTTTAAACCACCATAACACCCCTTACAGTAACCTTTATAAAGCCCTTTTAAGAACCCCCCCCCTCCGTGCCCCAATCCTCCTACAAAACAAAAAGCAAAAGACAGTGCAGAGCCTCTCTCCCGTGAGTGTTGCATGGAGGCTTTTGATTTCTGTTTGGGCTTCAGGAGGATCGCTCTTCGTGCCCCTTCCACTACACCTAAAAGAGTCCAAGAGCCCGAGCAACCAAGTCTACGCGGCGTGACCTTGTAGATGGCGATGAGTCTCTTGAAGCTCTTGTGTAATGTAGGAACCTGATTAAGGAACCCTGCGCCCATAACCCCAAAACAGTAGGAGTGAGAAGAGGAGCCTCAATGAATAAAGGCCCAAGGTTTCCCAATCAGGTTCCGACATTATTATACTACCTATAGATCCCTTATAGTAACCCTAACAGACCCCTTTAAAGGAACCCGTTCCTACAGCATTTCAGGCCTTTTGTGAGTGTTGGGGGCTGCTTTAAAGTCCAAGGACCCTCAGACTCACGAAAGCTGAAGCAGCTCTAGGGCTTAAGCCTTACCCATAGGCCCGTAGTAGTTCCTCTTTAGGGGTTGACTTTTATACTATAAGGTAATCCCCAATAAGGAGCTACTATGGGGCTTAAGCCTTACAGGCATGTGTTTGCCAGGACTTGAGGCCCATGGGTTTCGAGGCTTCGGGGAATGACTGCCGAAAGCCCCAAGCCCTACAAAATAGTGGGTCGTGACCCGTTAATTCTGGGGTATACCGCTATAACCCTAAAATGTTGTGAAGCGGTATTCTTTCGGATCCACAGGTAACGCGATACCCATAGGCCCCAAAGTAGTTCCTTTTGGGGATTACCTAATAGCATTCGAAATATGAACCCCAAAAAGGAACTACTTTAGTAGGGCCAGTAGGGCCTTAAAGGGAACTCCAGAAAGTTGGAATATGGTTTCAGGGTAGGATACCCTATAATTTACCATAAAGGGTTTAGGATAATCATATTCCAACTTTCTGGCTTTTACTTTAAGCCCTAAGCTCAGGCAAGGACCCTCAGAGCCACAGCGCCTCGACCTCGACCTCTCTTGCGGGAGACCTGGGCCCCTTGGCAGCTAGGGGCCCGTTTAATGTAGGGTTTAGGGGTCAACGGGTTTAGGGTGTAGGGTTTAGGTTTATGTTAGGGTTTAGGGGTTTAGGGTTTATAGCCCTTTCGAAAAATCTATCTGCCCCCCGTCTTGAAGGGTTTATAAGGGTAGGGTCCTGCTACAGTGCAGACTTCAAGGTAAATTGCTCCATAAACAACCTATAGTCTCCGTTGTAGTTCCTTCTTTTGGTTTAACCAAATATTTAATTCGGATGCTATAAGGTAACCCCAAAAAGGAACTACAATGGAGACTCCAGGAAGAATAGGGAGAAACCTACGGGGTCGACGGAAGCCCGGGTTTCCACCGAGGCTTCGACTTCGACGCCCTCGACTTACTGGATGAGACTGCGGTGCCAGAGCTGAGCCGCCTGGGCTCATCTTAGGGGTACTTAGAAATATTTTTTTAATTTTGGGTTATCATAATTTCTAAGAAACAGAAGTTCAGTATAGTCATTCCCAGACCCCCAAGAGTACTATGGTTGATGATATAAATCCTGCATTTTACTCATAATAAGGAATATACCATAATTCCCATAGTTTAGGGTCCTTAAAGTAATGCAGGTTTTATATCATCGGTAGTAGGTAAAAATAATGGCCCAAAACCTATACAAGGCCATTATTCTGCATAGTTTAGGTACTGGCCTGTTTTGGTGCAGCTTCCGTTCGGGACTAGTGCAACACAGCACAGCTTATGTAGGTGTATCAAAGCGAGTGCTTGTGCAAGTTGTCGGCCGACGTTGAGCAGCGTTGGTTGCACAGCAAGCCTCAGAATTCATGGCTGCATTCCCGCTCTTGCGATAAGGATTGCCCATGATGACAGATGCAGAGATGGGCAACAGTTTCGAGGCCTTCGGCATGCGCCTGGCTGTGTGTGCAACATTGGACGGAGATTGAAGGCACTGGTTGGGAACCGAAATCTGTAGTTTTGCCCACGACCCTTACCCGAATCTCAGAACATCATGCCGGGGAAATTTCAAGGGCGGTAAAGTTTCTTGCCCTCCCATATTCGACTCTGGTCGTCAAGGTTTTGGGGTTTGGAGGAAGAGAATCCGCGACAAGTCTATCTGTGACTAACCTGAACGGCCAAAGAGGACTCGGTACCGTCACTTGCTTCCATGCTCAGCAGAGGACTTCACCCGACCCGTAAGTCATGTGAGTCTGCGGTGTCTTGTTGGTTGACGGTGCGTTGCAATCTGGATTCGGGGCAAAATGCCATGTCAGGCTCTGCCCCAGCTCGACCGACTCTCTCCAGGATTGGCAGCGGGTATTGGGGCGGGGCTGATCCAAGCAGAGGCCCTAAAAAGGTATGCCAGCAAATCCTATCCAGAAAGCAGGGGTTTAGACCGGAGCGACGTCGAATGCGGCATCAAGCTTGAGGGCGAAGTTTGGAGTGACAACTATGTAACTATGTAGGTTTGTTGCCACAGGCTTGGTACGTTGGTGATGCATACACGTATACACTTCGGAATGCGTATCACAGCAGATCTGCAGTGCTAACAATATCGTCTGAGATTCACATGTAGCGGTTCAGGCAGCAATGCAGGCGAGATGAGTCGAGACAAACAAAAGGAAGAAAGAACAATATTGGAAGACAGAGGCGAGAGGAAACAAAGAAGAGTCTTTGTTTAGGGGGGTTTATAGAATTAAGGGGGGAGAGACCTCGCTCTCAAAAGGGTGGGTTTGGGGTTGGATTCAAGAATCTCTTGGAGTCGATCCGAGAATCTCCGAGAGCCACAGGAGGCCCACTGAAGAGCACGAAGTCCGTGGGATTCGAGCTGGCTGTGCCATTGCCCGAAAGCGCGACGGTCGCATAGGGCTATGGTTTTGATTTTGAGGTTAGTGCACTGCAGCTGTTTGGGGATGCTGCTGTAGCCTTATTGCCGCTTTGCCTTCACAGTTTCCGCCCAAGTTCAGGGGTAAGACTTTAGCTGAAGGTTAGAAAGTTCTTACGATGTGCTGCGGATGTGTGTTGGAAGCTTTGCGCGATTACTTCTTCGGAGCCGATGCAATCTTCCATGAGCTGTTGTTGGTATATATATATACACATAATTTTACATATAGGTGCATGTATGTATATGTATATATGTATGTATGTATGAGAAGCCCTAGGTAGAGTATTAAGTAGCCGCGGAACTTATAAGGATTTCAATTCCTCCATGACAGGTCATAAACCTTCCAGCCTGGAGGCCATGGCCTCCACTGCGGCTCCAAAACCGGGAGACTGGGAGCTCCGGGCGAAAAGTTAGGGATTCTGAACTCTGCTGCCTCCAAGGCTCCGATTCTACCACGAACCAGCAGCAGAGACACTCTAAACTCTGAACCATAGCCCCTTTGAGCAAGTTTATGCCTATAGTCTCCATTGTAGTTCCTTTTTTTGGTTTAACCAAATATCTAATTCGGATGCTATAAGGTAACCCCAAAAAGGAACTACAATGGAGACTACAGGTAGTTCCAAGAGCCGACCGCAGAGACGAACATATCTGAATTCCAAGAGCCAACTCCCTCAGTGCGCATGAACGACATGAGACCACGCCGCCGCGGCATGATTAATCTATGCCTCGAAGGGAACAAGCCCCAAGATCACAAACAAGGCACCTAAACCTCTTAGATCGTATCATCACGTAATGTAATATAATACAATATAATATAAGAGTATATATATATATATATATATATACATACATACATAAATACAGTACATACATATATGTATATATATATGCTACCCCCCCCCCCAGATACCAATAGAATTGTGTGTTTTGTGCTCTAAACCCTGCAATTCATGACACCAAGACACTCGAAGGTCTCAGATACTTCTAGTGCACGACCAGAAGGTGATTTTGTTCATCCCCTAGATCCCGCAATTCAAGACGCATGCATCCAGGAGGCGCTTAATACAGGGCCAGGCAAGCCTGACTACATTGACGCCATACACATACAGGATGCTTCAGCACATGATAGGTAGTAACGGCACCCTCTGTATTACTTAGACGTGCCTCTGGAGAGTCTTGTCACAAGTCTCAGCCAAGAGGGTGCTCGAATGCTCTGTTTTTGTCTCATGGTGCTGCCTGCAGAAGGAAAACACAGGAATGTATTGGTAACTGGGGGGGGGTACCATATATATATATATATATATATATATATCTCCGTGATGCCTGAAAGCACAGGTCCCTTACGCGCCCGATCTGTGCCTAACCACTGGAGGATTCGAGCCTCGGCTGCAGGGTTCAGCGACTGTGCTTTTGTATGGAGTTTACGACGGGTAAGAACTCTAAAAGGGGTCTATGCGGGTACTATACGGGATCTATAGGGGTACTGTAACAATGTAGGAACCTGATTCAGAAACCTTGGGCCTTTATTAGGGTTCCTTATGTGAATACGACTGTCTTGGGGTTATACGCCCAGAGTTTCTGAATCAGGTTCCTGCGTTAGGGTGCGGTACGGTACGGGAGGGGGTTCACCTCGCCTTTCGGAGGTGCTGCGCTGCATACCTGGTCACCCCCCCGGTCATGCGTCGCACCAACCCAATCCTCAGGTGCGCAACTGGAGCCGCCGACACCCCTGCGTCGGTGCCGAAGTGCTCATGCTGGAGGCCAAAAGAGTTCCGTCGCTTTAGCTTTTGCGCAGATCTCTTTGTTGAAGTGTATCGAGACTTAGACATCAGTCCAAGTTGCGAGGACTTGGCTTCTGCCCGTGCAGCCTCAGCAGCATTGCGACCTCTCCGCACTCGGATGGCTTTACGGAGGATCTGGAGATCTTGCCGACCCAAGGAGGCTGGAGAGTTTAGAGCGGGCGGTGTCGACTCACGCGCCCTAATGTAGGGGCCTCAACAGTTCGAACAGGGTTGTGGGGGCTCCTTGGTATATTAATGGGATAGTATACACTATGCCCCGAAATTCCGTGTTCGCAACAATTATAAGGGCCCCTATATTGCGGCTTATTGCGTCTCCTCGGGACTCTGCAGCAACAGAACCATCCGTGACGCACTCGCTCGTTCGCTTACACTAACCGCTGCTGGATCAGTATGCGCGTGTAGATACATACTGTAATTGCATTCATCCACACATCCATGTGCGCATACAAATACACATACATATTTACAGACGTACATACAGACATTCAGACAGACAGACAGACATTTATACATTCAAGCGTTCATATGTTCAGACGTTCATACATTCGTACATACATATATATATATATGTATATGCAAAATACAGTATAGTATAGTACAAGATGACGTATTAAGATGGAATAAGAACGTATGATATACGATCGTAAGCCTATCTATGAATATCCATCATGAGTATCTAACAAATCTGTCTATCTGTCTGGCTGACGCCTGCCTGTCTTTCTACCTACCGACCTATCTTCCAGCCTCTGTGTATATACATATATATATATATATGTACACATACATACATACATATACATATACCTATACGTATATGTATATATATATATATATATATATGTGTGTGTATACACATGTGTACACACTGTTTTTTTGTGGGAAGGCTGGCGACATATCCGCATGTATGCATGTGTATAGCGCAGATCCAGGGTTTCGATGTGGTGAGGCCTCCGCGTGGGAGTCGTCGTGAGCGGATCCCGCGGCGACGTGCAGCCGCACGTGGCGCTGGCCTTGGACCTACGAAGTCTGGGTCACCAGGCTCCTTGGACTCTCCCTGGGGATCAAAAGAGCTCGAAAGCCTTACATAATATGGTCTTTGGGCCCAAAAGCCTTATTTTATGAGTCCTTCGATCCCTAGTGTCTCGGACCCAGCCTTGGCACATGAAGGCCACCTGAATCAGGGGCCCGGGCCCGAGCCCAAACTGAACACTGAAAGTGACACCGGTTAGGCTCTTGGAGCCAACGAAGCCAAGGTGGCTTTTTTTTGTATGCCCCACCTAGCTCGAAAATTTGGCCTGCGACTTGAAACTTGCATCAGAACACAACATGTTTCCTTGAATGCGTTCTTCCTCACATGGCCATGCGCTATACTACACCTGCCGGGAGTCATCAACCCTCAACCTTGAAAGAACATCTCACCTTGCAACTTTGCAATTAGCTCAAAGAGGTTCGGATCTTCACCAACTCCAATCATGCAGCCCTTTGTGCCCGGCATGGCGTGGAAATGGTCTCGGTGTTTGCCGATTCACAGGCAGGACTCCCGTGAGGTACAACAGGATGCTCGGGCTCTTGGCAAGTCAGCGCATTACTATTACTATTACGATTACTATTACTACTACTACTACTACTACTACTACTACTACTACTACTACTACTACTACTACTACTACTACTACTACTACTACTACTACTACTACTACTACTACTACTACTACTACTACTACTACTACTACTACTACTACTACTACTACTACTACTACTACTACTACTACTACTACTACTACTACTACTACTACTACTACTACTACTACTACTACTACTACTACTGCTACTGCTACTGCTACTGCTACTGCTACTGCTACTGCTACTGCTACTGCTACTGCTACTACTACTGCTACTACTGCTACTACTACTACTACTACTGCTACTACTACTACTACTACTATTACTACTATTACTACTATTACTATTACTATTACTGTTACTGTTACTGTTACTATTGCTATTACTATTACTATTACGATTACTATTACTATTACTATTACTATTACTATTACTATTACTATTACTATTATTATTGTTATTATTATTACTATTACTACTATTGATTTCTGAGCCCAGGCAGAGTCCAGTTGCAGGTCACTGCTGAAATGTGTGATTGTTACTCGTGCCGGGTGCTGGAAACCATGTATGAGTTTCACGTATAATGAGGAGAAGGTGTCTTTAGACTTGCATATGACTTGGCATCGAGGGCTCTTGCCCATCTCTGCGTTTGTTGAGAACCCCCTCTCCTGGAGGCATGTATCGAGCGGATAGGCGGCGTGTCGGGGAGCTTCGCCTGCGACTGATGGGACAGGTTCTTCGGAATGGGGAGAATTAGGTGCGAAAGACGTGAAGAACCGGCTGAAAGCCCCTTTGTCTAGTGCGGCATGCGCATGTCCCTCTTTTGCCGGGACAAAGGCTGGGTTCCAAGCCCCGCTTGCCGACCCGGTTGAGCTTTAATCCAGCAGCCCATTAAGCATCTCCCCACCTCACGTCACGACAACATAATTAACCAAAACTTGTTCGCTCAGCACATCTAGTTCCTGGTTACCCTAGACCCTATAAACCCTAAACTCTGGTAGCCCTTGAAATCCCAAAGCTCGCGTCCCGTGAGACTCCCGCGAACTCAGGGACACCCTCCTGGCATCCCTGCGGAGCGTCTCCCGTGCCCAGCGTGCGGCCAAGGTCTGGTTTGAGGCGCAACATCCTGGAGTTGAGACTTTGGGATGCCAAGAGGATGATGTTTCCCTTGCATGTGCTGCATGGATGGATGGGTGGCTGGATGGATAGATGGATGGATGGAATTATGGGGCCGTCGCGTAGTTTGCAGGGTGCAACTTGCTTTGCTGCATGTAGCGGTGTCAACGAGTTCGACAGATGACAACGGGATTCTCTGAGGTTTTGCACTCCTTCAGGTTGCAGGAGCGGGGCTGGATACAGGCCAATGCCGTTGATGACGTCCGGGATCGTCTTGCCTCATGTTTTTCCAGACCCCGTTCTTTATCTAGGGGCCTACATAATTACCTATACTCTTTTGGGGGTTCCTTGCTATAGTTATAGTATGATGGCTCCCAAGACCCTATTCTAATTAGTAAGGCCCCTATAATTATACGAAATCCTGGAGGACCATCCCGGCAAATGCACGGCGCTGGAGGACCGACAGACTAGGCTCCTGAGTAGTACCCTTTTGTACTTTTTCTTTTTGAGTTCCCCTTTTAAAAACAGAATAGTGGGAAGAAGGGCACCCTTATTATAAAGGGGCTACTCAGGAACCTAGCAGAAGAGTGAAGAGGGAGCTGGGAGTTTGTTTGGGGGGGGGGGGGGGGGGGGGGGATTGCACCTGTCTATCGAGTCAACGATGGACCTGTGTACATATTGGTTCCTATATCCGCCAAGGTACAACGGCAGCAGCAAATTCATAAAGCTACTGTGAGCGTCGCCAGCATCGCACGTGTAGGTGGAACTGTGCCAGAGAGTGACCATCAACATACGGGAACAAGCACATGGCCGCACTTGTAACGGCAAAGACACACGAAATCATCTCCACCCTCAGTGCCAGCATCACGACGGCGGATAAGTTCGTTCCGTGTCATGGAAACGTCATCACCATCCGCCTGCTTACGGCATGTCACACACACACACACACACTTCAGGTTCAGTCAGTTGAAGTCGATTTGCATTGGCCTGTTGTTGCAATCAGGGCATCTTGGTGTTCCAACTTTAGGCTGTCTAAATGCCCTCTGATCCGAAGAAGAGTTTGTTACTGGTTTCCTCGCAGGATGCCTTGGAAGACTTTGCACCGGAGGTCCTTCTCACCAGCAACGAGGCACTCAGGGGGTTCACAGGCTATAAGCTTCGGAGGATTTCCAGTCGTCATGTGATGTGAAGCGTGGGAGGGAACACTTCGGGCCAGCAGTACGTTCAATGTAAGTGTAATGAGAGTTCGCAGAGCTCAGGGCGGCAGGAGGCCTTATGATGTCCAGATGTCAAGGCTCGGAATAAGAGTGCAATTCTATTATGTGAACACTAACCAATCAGTACTTTTATCAAGGGAGCAGGCGAAGTCACCCCCTTCGGAGCAGAGGGAGCCATAAAACTACGTTGTTCCTGACTCTCGACTCGAAGGACCTGCGTTGAGGAAAGATCCCTTGGCAGTATGTTGGATCTCTAAACTACCATGTGGTATCAGGCTTTTATATTCAGTGCCCACGAACTTACCACGGTCTCGCAGTCGAAATCTCCAGCAAAAGACACCAGACGCCGGAAGCACCGACGAAGACTAGGCTTGCGCAGCCGCCGTGCGCTACGAGAAGCTCACCGGCACACCAACCATCTTTGCATGCTGCTTGTTTGAAGCTCCTTGAGCTGATGCTACGGGCTGTTTGCATACATAGGTCACTACATAAAAAATCTACGCGGCACCGAACTTCTCGTTTCTTTGCCGACAGGCAGTACATGTCTCACAACACGTGCTTTCCTGTTAGATGCTGCATACGGCTTTAGTGATTCTACTGTACATGTGTGGACAAGCAAGAAGAAAATAATTGGTAGGCAGGCATGCAGGCAGGTATGTACGTGAACAAGCATGTGAGGCAGCTTGTCAGCGGGCCAGTTTAGTCAGCCAGCCAGGCAGAATGCAGCCATTCGATGTGGTTACGGTGGTTTGTCATGCCGATAGTGTGTGCCTGGACCAGCAGCAGCTACGCATGGTCCCGGGCATGGCCATGGTGGTGTATATTTATACTGTTCTGAATATGAGTTGACTTTTCCATTTCTGCCCTGCTGCTGTTGGCCAGTGGGATCAGTGGCCGCCGGGCGACGACATTATGCGACTCTGTGGATGTCGTCAATCCTTACATAAGCATGCCATCCAACAGCAGCAGCAGCCGAATCCAAGTGTGAACCATCAACATTATCGGCATCTCCGCATGAGCCAACATGACGTTCAGCAGGAGACGTGCAGAAACAGCAGTCAGGAATGTGGTGTCCCGGTGTGAGTGCCAAGCCTGTGCGGAGGCTTCTTTCGGGCGATGATGGAATTCCAGTCGAGCATGCTGCAGATGCAGCCCCCTCGCCGGGAGCCAAGCTGATCGGTCGAGCAATGGGGTTTACAGGCTTTTTCAGTTTGAGATAGTTTGAGGTTTCGAGTTTCTTCGTGTCCACGGCTGTTTTTAGTCCGTGAACCTCCTCGCTGACAGGTCCTGCGTTTCTCGCTGCCAGTGCGCTCCTTGACGAGGCCGACCCTTCCGGGTAGTATTCATCGGCATGCTTTTCTGGGCCTACAAGGAGTAAGTCTAAGTTCTGTAGCAGCAAGAAGGCTTTAATTAACCTTGCAGACCTCGATGCCTGTCTGCGTGAAAGAGCGATTGCGTTTTCCAAGAACGGCGCCACATGAGAAGTCGGTCTTGGTTTTGAGCATGAGATGTGTTTGCACGCCGTTGCATCAGGAGGCTCCGCCAGTGGAGCCAGTGGAGGCCCAGAGCTGCCTCGTTCAGACAGGCCCCTGGTTCTTGGAGGACTTGGGGCTCGGGTCTGGGAGAGGATGACTTAAAACAACGGAGCCCTTGTACTCGGGCTTGAAGGATAGATCTCTACTCACCTGGTGGATGGTCTGGATTTCTACAAACATCCGCTGTGTGTGTGTGTGTGTGTTGCTTCCGACGCCCAGCTCGCTTCAGGATCAGCCGACCCAGAAAGAGCTCGCCGAAGGCCGGTGCATGTCATTCAGTCAGTTCGCAGGAAGAGATTCTTGCACAGGTCGCGCCTGCTCAGATTGCGAGACCCGAAAGAACTGGCAACGTTCAAAACACCAGGCCTTCTGAACCCACGCAAAGTATGACCGCCAAGGTTTGCGTGCACATGTCTCCGAGACTCCGAAGTTAGTATCAACCCGCAGCTGTGATAGAGAGCAGCCTTGTGCAGCCGCTACCGCAGCATATGAACATTGCGCAGACAGGCCCTTCCCTCGACCCCCAAACCCGAACCGCAACTATAACCCTGGATCGTGAGAACCAAAAGCATACCAAAAGCCCCAACCACAAAGTTCTGGCCACCGCTTTGGCCACCTTGAAGGAGACCTGGCACGGCTGCGCGAGTTTCTTGATGCAGGGAGTGCGCCGGTAGCCGCCGCTCGTTCGAAGTCTGAACTCCTGAGCACTGCCATCACGAAGACCCGAAACCTGAGCAGGGAGTCTCGACGTTTCTGGGGCAGAACTTCCATCCGAGAAGTTGTGCTTTAAATCGCCCGTGCCGGCCCCACCAACAACAGCAACAACGGACAAAAGTAATTACCAAAACCCCCACACCAGTGCCGACAGGCCCCCGCAGCACGATTATAACAGCCGAATGCAATGGCAGCGGAAACTTTATCCAGATTGCAGTCATGATCGGCATAGTCATCGGTCATTATGCAGTATCCCCATGGCGTGGATAGGACTACAGAAACCAGCGGCGTGCGTTAATGCCCTCATGCAGGTCTAAACCTACTTTTCGCAGGTGCAGCTCGGGACTAGTTGCCCAGTCCCCCAAAGGTGTGCTGGGGCTCTATGATTCCTGAGGGCATGGAGCCGCTTGGCTTGATTTAGTGCAAAGTGCGGAAGAATCCTGAAGACGTTGGAAACTCTATGTTGTGGTTCTGTTGCTGGATGCCATGCAGTATGGCAGAATGGCCTGGCGCTATATATTATACTATATATATATATACACACACATAGATATATATATATGTGTATATAGACAGCCCACTGAGCCTAAACCCTGGACCTGCGAGGGTCCTTCTACATACTGGTTCGGCATTCCTCATCGCGCTTTCCGTCCGGCTCTCACCAACTGGAAGGAATTAAGAACACATGGAAGCTCAAGAGGAGGGAGCTTACATAATGCGACTTGCACGTAAAACTTCTTGAGCCCTCTCGACATGACTCTGACTGCTCAAAAGCCGGGAAACCAACACGCCTGCTTGATACTTTAATTTTGAGGTTCAAGATAGCGGTATTTCTTCATGTAGACCCTCTCCAGTAACCCTTATATGACGATGTATAACCCTGGCGCGAGATGCCGGAGACCCTGAACCCCAGAAGCCAGATAATTTTAGTCTTAGGCGCCTCATCGATACAGTTCGTCCCGGGACCAACAAAGTATGTAGAATAATAGCATATTTTATAAGATTTTGGGCCATTGTTGTACCTACTTTTGGGGGACTAGGTCATGACCATGACTGTAGCAAGAGTACACAGCCCCAGAAAGCCTGACCGTACTCAAACCACGCAGCCCTAGACTTTTTCTTTGTTTCGCCATGAAGCGGAAGCCCCCGAATGGCAGCGTGGCCCAGACAGCTGTGAACGGGGCACTGCGGATACTGCCCTTGCTGCCTGGCTTCCATAGTATGGTGTAACTCGTGCTGCCTTTCGCCTATACACTACCATGTAGTCCTGCAGGCCCAGATTCTGATTCTCCCAGCTAAGACGTTCTTTCTGCCCTGGTCTCGCAGACTTATATTAGCTACAGTATAGACAGGCAATAACCCTAAACCGTGAAAGCTGAACGAACTCTGCTGAAGCCGCGCTTGCCTCGTGCCATTGCGCATGTCGAACCCCTAAAGTAATCTCTAGCAGAAGGGTCCCTCCCAAGCAGACCCAGGGTACTGCAATCTGAGTTCGATCGGAGCGCGACCGGACGACATGGCAGTGACAGTAGGAAAACCTTCGTTGCAACAACCGCATTTGCTTCAGACTCGACCACAGCCGTCATAGCAGGATGAAGGAAGCCGATGAAGCACTGCTCAGATGAAGGAATGCCCGGGCTGGTTTGTTTCCGGCAAGCATGTGCGCATTTCGTTGCTGTTCTTTGCTCCGAGGTTTTGCTCTAGTGAGTTTATGTATGTTTGAGGGGGGTGGCACCGAGGTTCATACTGCCACTGCTGATCGCTATCCTCCAGCCAGACTCCCGCCGCAATCCAGCTTCAGGGCCCAGCACTCATGAACTTTTCGAAGCTGCGGAGTCCACACAGTATGACAAGCAATGTTGCCCTTAAAGAGATGCTATCATCATGTGGCCATAGGTCCTATAGACGAGGCGCCGAATCTCATCTTAAGTCGGAGTTTTGTTGTGTACAGATGAAGACCTCAGGTCACCAAGGGGTTGTTTGTTCTTTTGGTGTATGGCTTTTCGCACCGGCAAATGTCCATTGTTGACCCGTCTCGAGATGAGAAGGCTTCGTCGCTATGGCTTTGGGCCCAGAAGGCAACTCATAGACATACTACAGTACGAAGGATTCGACCAGGATCCACTGTCCAACTGCTACTTCCACCGCTGCTACTACGACGACGACTACTAATGGACTAATTATGTAATGACACCACCGCCTGCTATGTGATCACAGCCACCACCGGCAGCAGCTGCAGCAGCACCACCGCCGCCACCACCACCACCACCACCACCACCACCACGAGGACGACTTCTCCGCAAAATCTGCAAGGCGACACTAATCAGCATAAGCTGTGACTTGCAGTCGAAGCCTTCCCCTGCTAGGAAGGAAATGGCGGCGCCAGCGACTGGAAGCTCCATGTTTCAAGCTGGAGATTTCACATCTTAGGGCTTTAGGGGTTTCGGGTTTAGGGTTATACTTTGCAGGGTCGGGTGGCGGGCAGTGTTGAACAAGGAAGGCTGAAGCGCTAGGACTTGGGATGAAAGTAGCCGAAGCGAGGGAAAGGGAAGGCGGAAGAAGATACAGGGAGCAACACACTGTGCATATATATATATATATATATATATATGATAGCGTAATATGCATGCATACATACATGCATGCATGCATGCTTACGTGCAAATGCAACTGCTTATAACACAAAGCCGTATATGCACATACAGACACATCTCTCTGTCTCTTTCTCTTCGTCTCTCTTGCTCTTTCTCTCCATCTCTCTCTTCCTCTCTGTCTCTCTCTCTCTCGCACTCTCTCTCGCTCCCCGTTGTCTCTTTCTCTGTGAATAATGCAGTTCATGGGCAGTTCTCATAGCATGTCGGTCAGTGAACCAGTCGTCGTCAAGTCTTGTCTGCCTTGACACCAGAGCCGAATTAGCCACACCAGCCTTTCCTGACCAAGCCGAAATGGGCGGGGTAGGGGCCGAAGCGACGAAAACATCAACGGAAGATGCAGAACCGGTAGCATAGGGAATCAGATGCATGAACCATGTGCCAGTTTTCAAGGATGGTGCTTATCGGCGCTGCATGCGGGGCCGTCATTTCTGCCGCGGTGCCGACTCTTGGGCACTTTCAGCATCTCTGAGCATGGGGCTCAGCTCGACCTCTAAAAAGTCTGGCCAGAGAAGAAGCCCAGCTTGTCACCACGAAGAAATTGCAAATAGCATCCTCTTTGGAGTCATGCTGCTGGATCTTGGAGAGATATAACATTCTGAGAAGTTCAAGCTCCAGGCGAGCTGCCAAGCTGCAAGTACCAATGTGCCTAGTGAGTGCACGCCTAATCTCAGGAGCGTGCGATTTGCAATACTGACGGTGGCCATCGTCACCGGCCTGCTGCTGAGTGTGGCGTACATGCACCTTGCATCAACTTGCTTGGAGCCCCGCTCGGCACTGTGGTTGGGCGAACGGGTGCACTGGTTCTTGTTGACATGTGATGGAAAGAGATGGCTAGATGTATCTTTTCCCTCTGATGCCCAGCCCTGCAAACCCCCCAGACTATAGAGTCTTCATTGTGCTCTACTGCAGCCGCTGTTCAAGGCAGGTGCTTCAGTCCAGCAACGAGTTGCCGGAACCGCATGTGCTTGCGCAGCTTCACGCTCAGAGGCGCCGAGTTGTTCAGGGCATCAAACAGAACCATGAAGCCATGCACTAGTCAGATGCTTGCTACCACAAATTAACAAGTATCTACTTGGAGGTTCAGGGGTAGCTACAAGCGGGGTTATAAGTCCATAATATGGCTTACAAGTAAAATTCCCTACTTACAACCCGACTTGTAAGTACCCATGAACCTCCAAGTAGTCCAGTGGCTGGATTCTCACAAGCAGAAGGTCTTTCAGGAGCGCCGCCTCAGCGGCTGAGTAGGACCGTGATCAACAAGTCTTTACCCAGAGACTCCAATACCCCTTAATTAAGGAATATACCTTAATCATGTTATACTATAAATTAAGGTACATTCCTTAATTAAGGGATATAGGAGTCTCTGGGTACTGTGGGCTACTCTTGGGCCCCCCTGGGGGGTCTTTTCGAGGGAGGACTGAGACTTCGAAGCTTCGGCCCTACTCTTCCCAGATGGGACCACAACACCGCGAGGTTCTTTGCCTTTAGAAGCACGTCCGTTTCTAAAGATTTGAATACTTATCCGCAGCTGCAGAGGCAGAGAGCGATAGTGCAGTGAATGCTCGTCCGATCTACTACTTCAGGTCCTCTAGCTGTGTCTTGCCGTGGTATTTCCTGCGGTGTCTGGACAAAGCTAAATTCAAATAGCTGCTTCTTTCCCCAAACGGTCCTGCAACTAGATCTCCCCTGTGCTCGGGACACTGGGGAGGTCGCGTGAGCGTGCGGCAGCCGTTGCACCACCCGCCGCAAGCAGTAATCGTCGATCTGCCGCAGAGCAGGCCGGTTTCGGGTTCCACACTCCCGAATCTCAAGCACGCGAGCGATGTGAGGTGTTGCCTTCCCAAGGCTCTTTCCCGTTGCAGGCCCATACAAGCCCGTCCCAGTTGGGCAGAGCTTCGTTCCTGCCCCCTTCCATGCCTAGCCTAGCGGCCCTACTTGGAGGGTCGGGGGACTTAGTAACTGGTTATTCTAGGGACTTATAAGTACCATAACCCCAATTAGGGTCCCTTTTAGGGTACTTATAAGTCTACTTCCTACCTACTTACTAAGTCCCCCGACCCTCCAAGTAGCGGCTCAAACCAGCAGTGCATGAGGCGCCGATACCCCAAATCCAAAGCCAGAGAGGCTGTAGCAAAACTGTACATTACTTTAAAACTCAACAAAAGCCGCACTGCTCTCGCCAAAATGGACATGGGCTGTTATTCGCAACTGGGAATGGTGACAATAATGCAGTTGTATAGTGGGAGTTAACAAACAACAGCGCAGACAACGAAATTGATGTAGATATCTTTTAAATATGCAATGACAGCAGAACGTGGCTACCAGTAACAGCCGAACAGTGACTGCGCAATTTGGTGCACGCTCGTGCGTGCGTGCGTTCCGAGGTATGGTATCTAGCTATAACATAGCTATCATACAGCGTTATACAGTTAGCTTGATCGCTGCTTTGTTACCAAATGAAATAATGGCTCCACGAGCAGGCGAGTACCACGAGCGACTTGTGTCACAACGAAGACACACATATTCTACACAAACAGAGTTGCATTTCATCATGCTCCAACGGTCCAAGTCTTCATAATTTCCCTAATTACCCTAAAGTACCATTGTAGTACTGTAGGTACTTAATACCTTAAAGTATATAGAATTACTTCAGTTACTTGCACCCTTTGGGTCATGAAGAATCGAAGACGCTTCGAAGCTTCCCCGTTCCCCTGGAGGTTTCTGCCTTGCGCTGGCGCCCGAGCCCACCAAAGCTGGAGGCACCGGTAGATATGAGACTCGGGCCCTTTCAGGTAGGGTTTAGGGTTTAGGGTTTCATGAACAAGGGTTTCATGATTTGGGATATGAGACTCGGGTCCTTTCAGGTAGGGTTTAGGGTTTAGGGTTTCATGATTTGGGATATGACACTCGGGCCCTTTCAGGTCGGGTTTAGGGTTTAGGGTTTCATGATTTGCGATATGAGACTCGGGCCCTTTCGCAACTTTAAAAAGGTTCAACGCCGTCTTGGCGGGTGGCTCCTATCCAGTCGTTTAGGGCGTCGGACCATACAACGACAAGGAACGTGCAATTCCGTCTCATCCGTCGGAGGGCGCAGGCTAGCCGGCAGGGTTTAGGGTTTTATGGGCATAGTCCAGGTGTAAAAGGGTTTTGTGGGTTTAGGGTTTAGGCTCTCGAAGTGTCGGTTATGCAAATACGTCAAGTTACACGATAAACTATGTGCACGGCAGCCGGATGTGGTTCCAGGCCTTGCTCCTTACAGTCTCACGGCTGCTGCACCTTCGTCTTTCTGGTCTGGAAAAGCCGGTATTGTTCTGAGAGATGACTCCCCGCTCTCCACTGACCCCGGAACCGTGACGCCGTTCATGCAGGAAAGTCTTTGTAGCCTTCAGAGTTGTCGTGGTTCCTGCAACCTTGAGCCATATAGCTGCACCATATCACAGGGCTTGTTCCCTACTCTTGCCCATGACGCACCGGCACATGGCCCTCCTAACTCTTCAACTGCCTCGAAGTTGGACACCATCCGAGGAAGACCTTTAGCGTCGTACTCCCCTGCGCCTTCGAGGGGGAGTTCGCCGAGAAGACGGTTTGGGCTGCCCCTCAATCTCATGTGGCTTTAAACTGGTGCTTCTTGCTTTGGGATATCTTGCGTTAGCTGATGAGACTTTACTGCGCAAAGACAGAACCCCAAGGTGTTCAGAATCGTAAACAGGAGGCAGAAGCGAGCACCGGCCCGATCCCCCCATCCCATCTTCGTGCCGCCCTGGGCCAAGAGGTTTGGGAGAACACCGACAAGCGGATTCTCAAGGAGATCATCGTCGTTGACGACGGCAGCCGGCCGCCTTTGCGGAAGATCATGTCGGCGTGCCTTGGGCATGCTTTCTCCCAAAGGCTCCAAGTAACTGCGCAGTATATGCTTTAGGGTATTATAAGTAGCTACTATAATGGTTCTAGGACTCTTTGAGCCTGCGGGCTTAAAGTTTTAGAGCTCATGTGGGCCTATATAAGGTTCAGATTCACGTAGGGTAGCAGCAGTACTGGGCAAGGAGTCGAACTTGAGGCAGGGGCTAACCTGTTTATCAGGCTCGTCAGATGTCAAGCCGTCAAGCACAACTCTTGTGCCGCAGCGTTGTTCGCAGACTCCTTCAGCAGTCCTCTACGGAGTAGACAGCATACAGTATACACCTCAAATCCACCATTGTGTTTGTCATATAGGCATGACAGGTATAGGGACCAGAGCCAGCACATGTTTCCAACTCCCCCAGAGACCAACCCTCCGAAGTCAAGACATGGAATTCAAGCCACGAACACCCAGCGAATGATTCTCGCGTTCTCAGAGCTCTGGGTCGAGCCGAGCCCCTGTCAGTAAAAGGAAGCTGCTTGCTGGCGGCCCTGGCGTGCCCACGATGAGGATCGTGCGGCATGAGCACCTCGGCTGAGCCGGGCCAGAGCTCAAATGAATCAGGCTGAGCGACAAATTGATGTTCTAGGGAGTTGGCGCGCAGCGTCAACGCTACAGGAGTGGCGGAGTAGACTGGTTCAGATGGTGAAAGTTGGTTCACGACTGTCGCTTGCTTGGGCGATGCCTGCGACGTCTGCGAGCGTAAGGAAGACCCTCGGTCTGATCTCAGCGAAGAAATCTGGTGGGGACGCTGCCACCGGTGACGTAATCGCTGCCTGGCATTCAAATTTAGGGGCCAACCTTGGGCGGCATCCTTCGCATTAGGGGTTAATTCCGGGCTCACGTCGAGAATAGCTTCTCTCTGAAGTTTCTTCAGTCTGGCTACACTAGGAGGCAACATTTGCGATGCAAAGTTGATCGAACATCATTGACGGCACACTGGCGCAGCTGTGCTGCAGACACGTGACGAAGCCCAAACAGCAGTGGATAAACATGGATAAACCGTATGATAATCCCATACAAGCCCCATAAGCCCAATCATAAGCCCATAAAAGCCCCATAAGCCCTATCTAGCCCCCATAGACGCCCTACCATAGGCCCCATAAACCCATAGACGCCCGTGAGGTCTTCTTTGACTGCCATGTCAGCCCCCGAGTCGGGTGGGAGCAGGCTTTCCTCAAGCAGATGCGGCGGAAAGGCACGGTGCCTAACTTCTTTCTCCTAGGGCTTATAGGGGGCCAGGATCACGAGGCTCTGGGATATCCGGCCTCTGGGCTGTGCTATGGGTCTGATCCCCCCCTGAGATTCGAAAAGAACTCGGCACTGCGCCGCGGCAGGAGACCATCGAACCATCGTGGTCCCCACCATCACCTCGCTGAATCCTGACACCTGGACCTGCCGGGTGTGACCAAACATCGGAGTCCCTCCATAGTGAGCGCCGCTTTTGTAGAGCGAAGCCTCGCATCTTATGGCCTGAATGTTGGCATGTGTTCAAGGTTGCACAAGGTGGCATAAACGAGCTTTGAGAGCGGTAATTTGCAACACACATACTGCAGCCATTGGATGTGCCTTGCAAGCCACATCTTCAGCAGGAAGGAACTTGGTGGCAATGCCGGCGGCAAAACCTGCTTTATTCTGTGGAACAACGACTTCACGTGGCTGTGTCTTGGTCGGACCTATAGACAGACATAGTGCTAGTGTGGGAGGACACCCGGACGTCACGCTCGATCAGCTTTATTATTCAAGCTACGTCCAGGAGTCACTCATGAGACTTGCTCGTGGAGTTTCCTGATTTGCAGCGAGGGAGGGAGGGAGAAGAGGAGAGACAACGAGAGTCTCCCGAAGCTAGGGTTTAGGGTTTAGGGTTTAGGTTCGTCCAGACTTCCGGAATGAAAAACGGGGGCCAACGGCAGGAAGCGGACACCCAAAAGCCCCAGCCGCCGGGCCACCGGGGCCCAGCGAAAGGAAGGCCATGGCCAAATTCTTACCTTTGGTTAGTAGGGAATGGAAGAATGGGGTACCATTATAACTACTATTATTGCCATTCTTCCATTCCCTACTAACCAAAGGTAAGAATTGGATGGAGTTGAGCGCTCCCACGGCATGAAGGAAGGAAAGTAATCAAGTGACTCTAGCAGCCTATAATTCCTTAGAGCCCCTTACTAAAACTGTACTGTAAAGGAGCCCAGAGCCCTATTCTAAGTATTAAGGCCCTGATTTTCGGAACCTCCCAGGTATAACCCCGGCCGTGATGCCCCGCTGATGAGCGGCGGCCTGCTCGCACTGTCTCGCAGGCGCCTGATTTTTAGCATCGGATGTTGTTTGATTCTTGTTATAACCCAAGATATGGGAGTCTCCATAAATTAAGGGTACCTTATCTATAAGGGTTACTATAAGGGCTACTAGAAGAGTTTATATGGGAGTTTTCCTGAAAATTAGGGGTACCTTTAAAGGGTTCCTTAAAGGGATCTATAAGGGTTCTATAAAGGGTTTAGGGTTCAGGGAGTTTCCGAAAATTAGGGGTACCTTTAAAAGGGATCCTTAAAGGGTTCCTTAAAGGGATCTATAAGGGTTCTATAAAGGGTTTTAGGGTTTAGAGTTTCCGAAAATTTGGGGTGCCTTATTGTTGGGTCCTTGTCAGAAGGATCCTACCATTTAGGGTACCATATTAGGGTCCCATGTGTTCGGAAACTCCTATGTTGTTTCCATTCAGTCTTTTTCAAAAGGATTCAGGTTCAGGATTTTGGTAAAGTTAGGCCGGATAGGCATTGAGAAAGGTTATATACCAGCTTCAGGGTTTTGGGGATGAGATTTCGGGTTGTACATACATTCAGGATTGTTTGGACTAGCATAATTATGTGCATGGGCGTTGCCGCTGGCTCCGAAGAAGCTGCAGCTGCCTTTGCTTGCGCTCCCATCTGCGCACGGGTCGCTTCCGGTTACGAGTTAGTGGACGTGTGGCCAGCTGTCGTACTCGTCCTGGGGCTAAAGTGCTAAAGCTGAGAAGGTGAGGGTCTGGCGTTGCAAGTGTACGTGCGTGATGTCCTTTTACTTCTAGAATCGCCTTTTCCTGAAAATCCTTCGATCAGAGCGCTCAAAGCAGTAGTTAGCGGTTAGCGGATGCAGACTCTCGTTGTTGTGTTGTCGGTGTATATGGATGTGGACAAGACTGGCAGGCGAGTCTGGGAAGCCAATCTTGACAGGATTTCGTCATGAGCTGATGTGCCACTTGTCAGGTGGTGGGAAGAGACCGGTGGCTACGACACGAACATGGTCGCATGGGGCGGCGAGAGCTTTGTTCTATACATATACATAAGTAAGCCCTTGCTACGTTAGCTGTTTCTGCTTCAGGTTGGTGCCTTCCTTACGGGTCTAACATTCAGCCAGTCTTCGACTGGCACTGACTTCGAGCATGATGCCGTTAGCTTTATCCTCGGTTTCAGACCACGGTGCTTGTAGCACATGTCGTGCATTTACCCGCAGATGCCTGAATCAACGCAAGCCAAGCTTTTGAAGCTTTAACCTAATAAGGCTCTAAGGACTCATATTTTACGGCTTTTGGGCCTAAAGACCATATTATATAAGGCTTTTGGTACATTTTGAGCCTTAGGGTAAATGTCGCTCTGAGGAACATCGACCAGTCTCTCCGCTCCTGGCTGTGTGGCGGGCGAATCGACGCTTGCCGCAACTGCCCATTCTGTCAGACCCAAAGGGCCCAAGTAACCGTATATATAGTATAGTATATATGCTTTGGGGGGGAACGGTACAGTATAGTATATACTTTGGGGGTAACGGTATAGTATGGTATATATATACTTTGGGGGTCACACTACCTACTATAATGGTACTTGGACCCTTTGGGAGAAAGAGTGAAGCTGCACCCTTCACCAAACTTCTCGGCATGTGAGCTCTTTAGATGCGCGAGTTGCATGCGAGCAGAGATTGAAAGCTGGGGGAGGAAGTCGCTGATGGTGCCTACGTGGCACACATGTGGCGGGATCCCAAGAATCCGCGCCTTGGAAAGACATCAAGACCTTCGTATGCTAGACCTATAGCCCGTCTTTTCTAGCAGATTCTAGCATCAGTGCTTTTCACGCTAAGATGTTCGCTGCAATGCCTGTCTCTCAGGAAGACCACGCTGCGGTATCCGATCCCCACTCGGGACGTCATGCGCAATAAGGCCTTCTCTCAGCCGAAGCCTCTCCCGGGACTCATGTGTACTACTCTGAGGGTTCCTTATAGGTGCCTATATTAAGCTCCTTCATGGCTTCCACAAACCCTGAAGGCGCGCGCAGCCACGGCCTGGTTCGGGGAGTTCGTGGAGAAAGTCATGACGTTTCCAGAGACTTCTGGCTAACTTCAGCCTTGCGAGGGAAGCTTCCCAGGCTTTAGGCCCTCAGATGTTGCAGCAGTGTTGCACGGTTAAGGGCCGAGGGGCTTTAACAGTGTAAGGCGCATGATTATGGTATGGCGTGGCCGTGTAGCGTCTTGGGTTCCCGGAGCGCGCGTACTCACGTGCCAAGCCGTTGAATCTGCACCCAACACCGGCTTGGTGAATTCGAGCGGTTTGCTTGATCCAGGGCCAATTCGTCCGCTGAAGTGGAATGCACTCCAGCTTGTTGTTTTTGTTCCGCGAAGCTTGTATATACATGCTGTGGTGGGCGGTGTGTGTTTGTGTGTGCGTGTGTTGAGATTCGTTTTCGTCTTTGCTGTTCCTGCCCGTGCGGTGGAGGAGCGAGCCGTTGCTGTGCGGAGCGGTCGCTGACTCACTTGGGCACTTACCGGGGTTTCGCCTGCGGTGCACAACCACTACTACTGCAACAGTATAACGGCATAAAACGGCAAAAACACCCCACTCACCTTTGCATTGGCAACGAAAACGCAGCACCGACAACAACGTTTCTGTAGATTTGCAATATTCCTGACCAATCATCGCAACTTTTGCTTCACTCTGCTTTCCTGAAAGCATGTTTTCGACGGACACCTGCCTCCAGGTACGAGATGTTCACCAAGAACGGAGAGAGCATCGGCAGCGTGGCCCAAGATTTCGTGAACTCATGGATTTGTTTGTGGCTTCAGTGCTCGGGCTGGTGCCGGTGGGGGGCGTGTGGCCGAGCTCTTGAGCCCTACGAAAAGTCAGACTGTAGCATTTGGCACAAAACCGAAGTCCATATGCCGGAGGCGACGACATGGTTTCCTCCCAGTCTCAGAGTATAGATGATGTAAGTAAGCGTAGATGTAGATGTGATGTGAGCATTCCGAGGAGACATGCGTGGCTTCCAGACAGTTAAGGACCGCCGTCCGTGGACGGCCGAGAAGCTGATTTCGCTAGTAGCCCTTCCTCCCCGATAAGACTTCGGGTGCCAGATCAGACACTTTCAAGTTGTTGCAGTTTCGGGACGATTTAGGATCCCAGCGGTGATGGCGGTCGTCGAGATGTGGCTTTGGCGACAGCGTCGTTGCTCTCGTCGTCGTCGTTGTTGTAGTCGGGTGGAGGTGGTGCTGGTGATGACGATGGCCATGATAGCCGACAAGACCAGGTCCTCGCACTCTGGTCGATTAGGCACATAAAATCAATTAAAGGTTGATCTGAGCCCCCAGTTCTTGATCACACTGAGGAGGCGATTTCTTCATAGGCCCGCCGTGAAAAGCTAGCTTGCGCAGGGCACAGGGTCCATGACAGGGCTCAGAACAACAATTTCGATCATGCAGGCCCCCACGTCGCAGACATCCAAATTCCAACCAATTCACGATGAATCCTCGGAAAACAGAGAGGACAGACTGGGCTGTGCTCCGTTCACGAGTCCTGCGGCATCGATCAGTTGCATTTTTTCCTGATGGTTTTCGGAGTCTGGTTCCATCTGAGAACTTTTGCAGGAGGAGCTTATTGCCAGGCTTGTTCCTGGAACAGCTGAACACTACTGGTAGCAGGCAGCAGACGAGCATGTATACCTGCATCTTTTGCACCTGCTATTCTGCGGCGATCGTGAGGGCTCATGGTCATGCTTTGTCTTTTAGATGTTCGTTCGCTTGTTTGTTTTGCGGAAAGCCACCAAGCACAGCCTTCTCCACTGATTCTCCACACAAACTTGGGAACTTGGGAGTTCCCGAAAATTAGGGGTACCTTGTTTTGGGGGTCCTTAGGAAAAGGATCCTATTATTTAGGGTACTATATTAATATTAGGGTCCCCCACTTTCGGAAACTCCCACTTGTGTCAGATTGAAAACCGAGGCTACCTGGATCGATTCTCGCGACTTGGGCTGAGTTTGTCTTGCGGTAGGTGGCACGGAGGCGAGGCGGTTTCCGCCGATGACCATGTGACGAGCGGGGGCATGCTAGAACATGTATGGAAGCGCACCCAAAAGTCGGGGCCGATTCGGACAGAATGTCCTGTGACAGCGTCCTCCCGCCCGAACCCCTGAACTTCGTAAGCATAGATGTAGATCTGGCGCCAAGCCCGACACACCTTCGGTCTACCCTTGAACCTTTCTGCAAAATCTGTGGCGTGGTGGCATGGTGAGAGACCGGCGCAGCCGACGCCCGCGAACCGCCAAGGTACATCTATCTGGATGCCGGACTAATCCCAGATCACGTCTTCCAGCTTCGGGAGCAGAAGACAGGACTTTGCATGCAGGTCGGGCCTTCATGTCGTTTCTGCAGGAGAGGCCGAGTCCACGGTCGGTGCATGATTCTCTTTGCAGGCAGGTACACAGTTACCAAACTGAAAGTTTACATGCAGGTGAGCATATAGTAGCCGCGACGACCGGTCGGTCGTGTAAATCCCATGTGCTTTCCGCCTTGCAGGGTCTGAATAATCATCAGCGGCAGAGTTCCCTTTGATGCTGGCATAGCATGCTTCAAAGCCCTATTCTGATTATGAACATTCTCTGAAATTCTCTGCGTCTGATCATGGCCTCACCCTTTTTCCCCTTGACAGTGCTCGAGAATGAGTTCGAGGTATCTGGGAGTTTCCGAAAATAGGGGACCCCCAAAAGTAGGACCCTTCTCACAAGAGCCCCAAAATAAGGCACCCCTAATTTTCAGAAACTCCCATGTAGACCTTGCAGGTCAAGCGAAATGACCGCCAGCCCCACAACGTGGTGCTGGCAGCTTGCGCCGGACCCCATGAGGCCAAGACTCCTTGTCACCATTGCTGTGTTTTCCTTTGGGAATGGGTTTGAGAGGATCATTCCTTAACCCAAGCCCTGTTAAATTGGGAGTATGCGGCTTAGACGAATTCTGAAGGATAGGAGTTCTTGCCAACCCCGATATAAAGCCCGGCCCAAACCTACAAATAAACCCTGCAAAGCCCTAAACCCTTACATAGACCCCAAGCCTCAAGCCCCTACATAAACCCTGAAGCCGCAAGCCCATGTGTCGTTAGTATACAAAAAGCAAACACACACATACATACATACACATATGTATAGATATATATATATATATATATATGTATATATATATATATATATATTGCATAATATATATATATATATATATATATAGAGAGAGAGAGAGAGAGATATGTCTATACATATAAGCCCCGAAGCTGCCATACAGGAGCATCAGTCATCGGAGCTGCAGCTTTTCCACCGCGGCAACCGTGCATCTCACCTTCAAGTTGGCCATTGGGGTCATCGTCCACAATATTGGGGGGTTTAGGGTCCAGCCTTTTTAGGGTGGGAATCTATCTTTCAAAACAGAATCGGGGATTGGTGTCAATTATGCCATGATTTTTGAGGGACTGCACAGGATTATGTCACCACTGTGGTTCACTATAGTTACTGAGTTCAGAACCCCCAGGGCAGGCGCTCACGAACAGGATCTGAAGGTCTGCATGTTGCACTGGGGGAACCCGATGGCCTTTCAACGCCGGGGCTCAGATTTCACATCTTACATGGAAAGCATCGGCAGAACCACTCTGAACACGAGGGAGATTCACTGATACTACACTGTAGGCTCTGTGGCATAGTCCTTTTAGTTGCACAAGTTTCTCTCTCGTTTCTCATTCCCATTATAAGTTAGTCTTGTTGACTGACATGTCCCGGTAGGTCGCTTCTGCTTTGGGACGTCGATGCGCCTTTATTTAACCTGTTCGGCTCTCGACGAAGCAAGAAGCAAGCATGCAACTAAGTGCCTCTCAAGGATGGATCGAAACGGGGAAAGCCCTGCTGCAGCGGCATGATGCATTGGAACTTTCTGCAGTGCCTGGATGCTCAGAATGTCGGAACGCAGGCCTTTTCTGAGCTCACTCTCGGGTTCAGGAAAAGTCAGGCACGGCATGAAACAGCTTTGACGACAGGGGATTTGTCAGGGTGTTCGATTAGAGTTGTTGGTCAGCGCCATTCCGGGGTGGTTAGATCTCAGATTTCCTCGTCCTGCAGAGAGGTTTGTCTTGTTTGGGTTCTACCAGCTGCGACACGGATGCAGGTCGCAGTTTCCACCCAGCCAGTAGCCGACAGATTTGGCCCTGAAGCTCGGTGTTTACATGTGCCACGTGACACGGAGTTCTGGCCTGGCCTTCCGGTCCTGACATGAGCTCAGGGTTGGAGGGGCAGGCATAGCTACAGCTACAGAGCCCTGCGTAACAACAGAAGCTCAAGATTAGGCCTTTTCGAGTGTAGGTGCCGGGATACTTGACTTTCAAGTTTACATGTCCCTCTAGTTGTGTATGCTCTGAATCCTCACTCCAAATATGTTCCGGCCACTATACGTAGACGCCTTCAAATCTGAAGTGCACTTGAGGAAAGAGCCCAGCCACGCGATCATACAAAAGGAAGAGATAGTATGAGCACCGACATGTTGGAGTTGTTGGGGTTTAGTTGGAGCTCCCTCCAGTGCTACGGAAAGAGCCAGGAGCCGTGGCAGTTCGCACATCAGACCTCCACGCCCACTGCATCTGAGTTTGAACGTCTCCCAACCACCCCTAAACCCTAAAAGTGCTGAAACCCTGCGTCCCAAGATCGCGAGTCGGCCGCAGGTGCGCACATTCGAGTGTGAGATCGGCGGGTCCTCGTCACACCAGAAGGCCTCTCGGGTTACGGTTTAGGGTTTAGGGTTTCGGGGATTCGTTGGTGCTAGTCGATCAAGACTTGCTATGATTTGTGGTGCTCTCTGTGGTTTACTAACTCTTCAGAGACATTCCTTCAATTGCTTTAAGGTTCAAGTCCCGGGCCTGCTATGCAAGGTTTCCCACCTTGTCCGAAACTGCTGCAAGCCTTCCAGCCTGGGGTACTCGCGCAGTAAACTGTGCCATCGTGAGGTGGAGCTGTCCGAGGATGGCCAGTTGCTGTGGCCGCTCGGCATGCAGAACAGATGGCGATCGTGTAGAACAGGTGCACCTGCGTGCCTTTGTACTCATAATGATACGTGCATTCGCAGGGAGGACCGCTTGTGCAAGTCGTAAGTAATAGATCCTGTATGGAAGTTATCATCTATCGAAGCCAGGCACAGGGTCACAGGGTCTGAAGTACTCTCCAAACAGTGCCTGCTTCGTCCAAAACTGCATGTTGAGTGCAACTGAAAGAGCTCCCGGTTGTGTGGTTCAGAGCGCCACCCTTCGACACGAGCACTGTCACTCCCACTGAAGCGATTGAACGTTGTCCAGAGTATCGAAGTCCCCTGAGGGCTCTGAGAAGGAATTTCACCCTGACCATCCCGGACCCGAATGGTCATTTTGTCCTTGTGGGTAGGTCTCGAAACTGTAGGGCCCGCCATGAACCGTACAAAGAAAAGAGCACGTCGTTTCTTGCAGGATGGCGATACCTGTGCTTCGAGAATCCCTCATAGATTGCCGCAGGAACTGGATGAGTTCCTGGGGCGGGGCACGAGGATGCTTCGCACCACAACCTCCAAAGGCCATCAAACGCCTGTACCTGAAAACCTGCTATAGGCTTTAGTGTACTCAGGAAGTATTCCAGTTTCCATTATAGTACAACTCAGAGCGGTCAATTACAACCTGAAGCATGTTCATGTTGCTCGGATGTGGGATGGTGGTAAACTCAGCTTGAAATGTGCAGAATGTGCAGACTTTGATGTCAAAGATTCCGGGCAGATGTCAAAGGGGACGCTTCTGAGAAGAAGCCTCTCATCCTTATCTCCAGCTCTGGAGGTTGGCAAAGCGGTGGTTAGCCGCATTGACGATTGCTCCGCTGCAGTGGAGCCCGCGGATCGGACTGCATTTGGTGGTCGAAGGCTTGCTCTTCTTGGGGACCCGTCGCTTTCAGGGTGAATAGAGGGACCTTAAAAGACCTTAATATATAATTAGAATAGGGTTTGGGGGCCCATTATACTATAAATATGATAATAACGAGGCCCCAAAATGGTATAATAGGTAGTTATACAGGCCCCTATGTTAAGTCGAGTGATGGAGTTCTTCGTCTTCTTACGGCTCTGCAAAGGGCAGATGGCTGTCACAGGTCAGACTGTCCAGGAAGATGGTGAAGATCCCTCCCGACCTTTCCGTCCGCATACCTCTTGACAGTGTCACTGCAGGAGAAACTCTTACTCTCTCATGCAGCTGGGTATAGAAAAGAAGTCTAATAGAGTAGATTCCCTAAACCGTAAAGCCTCCAACTTAAAAGAGGGGGTTGTCCTGCGTGGTACTACCTTCTGTTGAAGCTGTTTTCTGAAGAGTTTCCCCCTCTGCATTGCTGTGTCCTCAATGTAGGATACTGGTCTTCGGCTTTGCTCATCTCCTGTACTCTATGGCTCTAACTTCTGTTGCCTTGTTTTCACTAAGGAGTTGAGTGAAGCTCTTAGTCTGACTGTGCGCACCAAGAACCTCGTCTGGCAGTGTCCGAGTTGCGAGAGTGTAAAGCCTCCAACTGCCTCCTTGTGCGAGTGTGCGTGTCGAAACTGCCCTTAATTTCCCAAGGGGTCCAAGTACCATGAGTATAGTAGGTACTTATACTACCCTGAAGTATATACCATACAGCAGAAGCCAGAAAGTTGTGGAACATCATTATCCTCATTCCCTCAAGGCAAGGTAGAGGGAATTCTGGGGTTCACTATACACTTACGTGGACCCTTTGGGAAACTGCCTTTGATTTGAGGTCGGGGAGGCCATGCACAAAGCGGCCGGCGGCCTCAAAGTCCCGGCGGAGTTCCGGATCAAGAGTCGCGAGGACCTTTCGCAGAAGGGTTTAGGGCTTTAGGGTTTATAGGGGTTTAGGGTTTACGGGGTTTAGGGCTTTAGGGTTTAGGGGTTGCCCCTACTAGTTTCTTGAGCAGGGTATGGAAGTGCAGTCAGGCGTGCTGACCTTCCGTCCATGTATTCTTGCGATTGCACAAGTCCTGCTGCAAAAAGGGTGCAGGGGTTTGCTTTAGGCGCTCATTTACTTCCCAGCAGAGGCTTTGCAGGCTGGATGCAAAAGGGTGTAGGGGTTTGGGGTTCAGGGCTTTAGGGGTTTAGGGCTGGCGGAGTCGCAGCAGGCCAGTTGCGAAAATAGGGCTTCAGGTTTGAGGGGTTTAGGGTTTAGGGCTTTATTTAGGGTTTTTGGGGTTTTAGAGCTTTAGGGTTTAGGACGACGGAGCAGATGAGAATAAGAGTCGCAGTAGAGCCAGGGACAGAGGAGCAGATGACGGAAGGACAGAGAAAACACCAACTACAGCTACCCACAAGGACTAGCCTAACAGAGCTCTACGGTTTCTTTTGGTCCTTTTGAGGAGGATGGCGGCTGCGCAGCAGTGGCCACAAAAGAAGGCCCACAAAAGGTTCAAGTTTGAGAATTGGCAGTTCGGAGTTTCGGGGTTCGGGATCAACCCTCAAGGCAACCAGCTTGTCATGCTTAAGCTTCCCGGTGCCCAAAAAAGGGATCTCAAAGGGACCTCCATGCGACGACGGATGGCTGCAAGAGAGGCAGCCGAAGGGTAGGCTCACAGAACACCAGCGCACATGTCAGGCGGGGATGAAAGTGTCTCCGGTCTCGAACTCCAGCCACCTGGCTCCGCCAGCACGGGCTCATGAGGCTTTAGGAGCTCTGGGGCACTTTTATATGTGTGTCAGGTATAGTTACTCCCAACATACTAAAGCTTTGAACAGAAAGTCAGTTCATGCGTAATTTATAACTCTCAAATACACGAAAGCCCTAAACCCGAATGTCGGTTTAGTACTTCCTAGACCCTAAGCCCTGAACCCCTAAACCCTGCAATGCGGGCTTCGTCCTTGCTAAGTAGGAGAGAAAAAGAACCCAAATGTCGTTTCAGAAAAGAAAGAGCTTGGAGCAAGGTTCCGTCCCTGCGACTTGCAGGATGGTGCCCAGTGCCTCGGCTTGTCAAGTCTCTAACTTTCGAAGCTCCCCGAAAATTCCCCAAGGGTGGCATCAGATAGTTAGACAAGTTACAACTCGGGTTTTAGGCTTTCTGCAGAAGCTTCATAAACTCAGTGCTTTCAGGCAGCTGTAATGGGGTTAGGCTTTCGGGTACATGGCGGTTGGTTTGTATTGGGTCTTTTGTTTTCTGAGCTCCCAGGTCTAAGGTGAAAAAACTTTGGGTATGGGTGTAGCTGTTGAAACTAAGGCGTGTTTCGACTTGACACACATCGGAAGGTTGTAGCCAGTAGCCGGTCCAAGTTCCTCACGTCTTGTCATATATATATATATATGCGTATATAAATATATAGGTTTTACCTAAACTGCGAGCTTCTCCTTGCATCCTTGGGAATCACAATCAATATGCTACGGCGACTGCTTGATTTCCAAAATCCTGCATGTTTGATCTCCCCCAAGTCCGTGGTCGTTGCAGACCTAACGCCTAAGGGAGCAAGACATGACCTCATAAGGATAAGATCGACCCGTAGTGCTTTCGAGTGATGTAACTCTAACTAAACTGAACTAAACCATTCTGGAGAGAAAATGTAAACCATTCTACAAAACCACTCATATTCCACAGTGTTCTTCCTGCTGGTACTTGTGTCTTCTCTTTCGGAGTTTCTCCCCCCCCCAGGATCTTCAAGGCCACCCCGCGCTTCGGAGGCTTTGAGATCAAGACAGGCCGGGATGTCAGATGGTCATATGGGATCCTATGGAAGCTTTGCTTTCCTAGCCGAGAGTAGACGGAGTAGTCAACAAAAAAGCCAAGGGCTGCACGTGCGGTGCTGGTCTTACCCGCAATCCGGATAAACGACAACCGGCAGTAACCCACGCCCACTCATCCGTTTGGTAGCCGGAGCCCCCAAGTCCTCAGAAAAAGTAAATTCGGGACAAAGGCAAGCGCCATACAATCCTTTTAACAACAAAAAACAAAGTAATAAAAAAATGACAAAACTAATAATAACAAATACGTATACGATTCCTAGGCAGAAAATCCACAGCCCCAACCGAGCACAGCAGGCGATGGCCGCAACTGCTTGGACTCCAGCGGTGGTCGAGACGTGCTGGTCTACCCCTGCTACGACGAAAGCGCGCACAACATGACCCTTTTACCATCAGTGGGGGCAACGTTTGGGGTTCTGCTTCTCGGGCGTAGAACACACACCTGAGCGGCCAAAAAGGCGATGGGTTGAGCAGTATATCAGTATATTGGCAGCTGCAAGACATACACCACAAGTTGTGGTCCTGTCTTCCAACACATTGCTAAGCCGAGTACCTCAAGCTCTAGTGTCTCTCATCTATATCTATATCTATATATATATATATATATATATATCCGCCGTACATCTTCGATAACCCTGCTCCCCGACATCCGACAGATCGAGGAACCAAGTGTGGCAGATCCGTGCTGCAAGGCTGTTGTGGGAGGCACGGTAGGGCGCTTGCCGGAGAGGTTGTGAAGGAATTGCTGGGTTCTTGCTAAGGGGCTTTAACTTAAATGTCCATTATGGAGATCTCTAGTATTTACCAGAAATATACGTCGCTTATGATGGTATCTTAAATAAGGTCCCCCAGGGTTTCATGGCCTGCCCGATGCATCGCACGTAGAAGTTCTAAGGTGCCCTGCATCTCCCGAGTCCGGCTCCAGCAAGAGCCGAAATCCCAAACATGGGACACAGTGGTTTAGGCTTTTAGGGTTGGGCCATGAATTAGGGTTTAGGGTTCGGACCATGAATTAGAGTTTACGGTTTAGGGTTCGGACCATGGTTTAGGGTATAGGGCATACCCCATCTAAACTGTTGCAATCCCCGTCCCAATACAATTCATGTACCTATGCAGTCCGCATGTCCGCAGGGGCGAGACGGTGGTGGGCAGATATGCATTGACTCGCGGAAGATCCACGAGAAGGTGAATCCTCCACAAGGATCGCCGTTCAAGACTCACAAGTTCGAGAACAGCGCTACCAGTATGAATAGGTGCTTGCCGATCTTAACCGTCTTAATCTTCAACGGATCTTCGCAAGACTTGGCTTTCATGCAACCTGGATGCAAAGGATCGCCATCTGCCAGCCGATTACTGTTACAGGTGTGTTGGTTTATTTGTTCGGCCTCAGTCGGCCTGCCTGAGTCCGAGTGTGATTGTCTCGATCTACTAAGCAATCTATCCTGAACTGATTGATGCTCCCTGAAGGAGAGTATCGATTAGTTACCTGCGCTCCTAAACCGGGGCAGCGGCTTCAACGTGCCCTGGCTGCCTGGTCGTTTATGGGCCGAGTTGAGGTGAAATTCCCAGGGATCGCCGAAAGCATGGCGCTTGTCAGGATTTGTCAGCCATGACCAGCAGGCCATCCTGGTGTTTGCTATTGCAGAGAGAGGTGCTTGGAGAGTTCCGCCACGCTGAGAATTTTTTTCGTCGGTGGTAGTCGTCGTGCTTCAGTGGTAACGGCGTAGAAATGGCAATCACAGCATTTCTCACATGATTCAGAGTCGAGACGCTGCTGCTGACGTGTGGCTTGCCTGTGCGACTGCTGCGCGGGAAGCAACAATGCATGTGTGATGCCATCAATGCCATAACTCATCCCCTCGGGTGACGGATGCAGGCTTAGTAGGAACGGGGTTGGCAGATATCAAGCTGCTTATGTAAGGGTTACATATAATTAAGCATTGGACTTGCAAAGCTTTTTTTTCTGTATGTCTCTCTCTCTCTCTCTCTCTTACTTTCTCTGTGTATCCATGGGTCGATACTATACCGTAAAAAAGGTTACACAACATATGTGCGAATTTCTCAGGCACGATTGCGGGACTTGCAGGATTCCTGAGGTTTGGTGACCTGCCTCTCTTTAGCCGGACCCTTTAAAGGGAACTTCAGAAAGTTGGAGTATGGTTTCAGGGTAGGATACCCTATAATTTACCTTAAAGGGTTTAGGATAATCATATTCCAACTTTCTGGCTTCTACTAAGCTGCCACCTGAGGACTGGAGGAGGATCAGGATGGAACCTTCCTGCTCAAGGACCCGCAGACTCTAGGGCCTTCGGTCGCCTGTGACGTGTGTTCCGTCATTTTTCTCTTGCTTTTGGTTGGTGGTGCTGAGTGCCGATGTGTGATGGAGCGCTGCAGCAAACAAGCGGGTGGCAGAATTGGTTACTGCTCCCGACCACATCAGTAAGCGTGCACAATGTAACTCTCTTGCAGCTTTCCGAATGAATTGGTCTATGCGGTCAGAACACGGCCCCCGACGCCACAACAGCGTAGGACCAAGACGATGGGCGCTGCCTTTCAGCTTTGTCCGGGAATGTCCTGGGGCTCTCAGAGTGTACCCCGCAGCAGAGGCGATGTGAGTCGAACAAAAGCATATATATATATATATATGTATAATCTGTATATATATATATACATATATCTATCTATCTATCTATATATATATATATATAGATATATAGGTCGTTGAATCTCGCGACGGTACCCTCACTTGGCATGCCAGGTCAATCTCGAACAAATCGAATTTCATCCCACCCCACCTGCCTGGACACGGTAGCCAAGGATAAGTTGAATTTTCTGAGGGGGAACATGTAATTAGGCTGGCACTTGCGCATCCGTGCATGACTGCAAGGTGGAGACTTCGCAGCCAGGGTGGGGCATCGCAGGTGCAGCATGTGCTCTCTGCAAACTGCATAGACGCTGGGAGCGAGCACAAGCCCATATTGCATCTGGACTGAACCGTAATACTTTAAATTACCTTGGGCTATATTGACTATTTGGATTTTTGTTTCGTCCCGTTGGCCACAGTCACGGCTAACCCAGGAACAGCTCATCGTAATTGATTGTATTGCCGGCGCAGTTAAACTAGGCTATTCTGTTATTGGCGAAATTTTATGAATACGTGCAGGATAGCATGCGAGACACCGTGCGCCGCTGCTTTGTCAGGTACCCTTGCCACAATGGCCACGTCAATCAGCCGCAGAAGTTTTCATTCATAGCGAACCCTGGCTGGATACAAAATCCCATCACTTGGGGCGACAACGGCCGGCGACGAACTTTCGAGACTTGCTTGGATCGCCTGCCCACTCAACAGCAGAACATCGCTGTCCTGGACTGTGCAGACACGCGCTCATCTGGAATTCGGTGGGACGCTCTCGGCATTTGGAGAATGAGGTGTATATGTGTTGCTTTGTCCCAGGTAACATCAAGCAAGAACTGCCATAGCCTTTGCAAAGCATTCCTACATTCAAACATTTCAGCCAGTGCTCGACAGTCACCATAACCAGCAATGCCAGCGAATCGTGGCATCATCGGTCCATATAGTAGGGTTCTGCCTGCACAGCCCACTTAGTCATGATAGTCGAATCAACCTGGAGGCTCATGGGTTGCCCGAGTTGCCAGTAGTAACACGGACCATGCCCAGATTCTTGTTAAAGCTTGTTTTCTACGCGATCAGTGATGTAGATAGGTTAGTCTAAGTAAAAGTATTGTTTTGTAAGATTGCTTTCTGTACTTGTTAAAGCCATGCATCATCTGCACAGCGATTGACATGGCCGCATGTCTGAACGATGTCTTCCCATCAGTCCCCAGCACTCCCAAGCACATCGCCTATAGGATTTCACGTCCCGCCTGAGGAACTCCTGAACGCCTTCGTGCCTCTTGAGAGGCAGCTCAGCCACATTGCATCGATTTCCACGCTAATGAAGCAGAAGGGGTTGTCCTCATGGGGGGGGGTTGCTTGATGATCAGAAGGGCTCTGGTGCTTTTGATTTTCACGTTTCGTCATCCTTGCATGCACGTAGACCCCAGCAGAAGATGTCAAGCCCCATGGGCCCAAGCGGCAGGGCTTCAGGGGCGACAGGCCGACGACATGGAAGCAGGAAGTCGGGCAGAATCAAATCCAGACATCACCAACCGTGCGGCCACACCTCTTTACTTGTATCGATAGAGCTCGATAGAGTTTCTCCGAGTAGATCCCGGAAAGGCAGTGGCTTACAGCACCCGCCGTCAAGCCACACGTTGGTCCCGCTGAAACTTCGAGGCAGCTTTGGGATGCGGCAGACAAGCCACCTCCCGGCACGCCGGTCTTGGGCGGCGATAAAGCGCCACCTTGAGAGCCGAGGTTGGTGTGGAACTGGTTTGAGCTTCGTGAACTTTCATGAACAGGTTGTATGCTACAGTGGTTGCATGTGTGTGCAGAATTCAGAGCCCGTTTAATTAGTCGGTTGGTGCATCAACAGGCATGAGTCATGAGCAAACATGGTGAGTTTTGCTGTTTCTCCGCAAGATTTCAAGAATCTTGCGTGGTGAGACTCGTCATCAGTTAGTTAGAGGCTTCATGCCCAAAACTTGGCTGCGTCACGCGCCGGACAAAAAGGCATGCTTGAATAAACTTGAGGGTGTTCTACATAGCTTTGGTTGGGCTCGCTGCATCGAAGCGTTACTGGGTTCTGCTGTTGCCCGTTGGTAAACTTGGTGTTATGTAGCTGGAGATGCAGTGCGCCCTGCATGTCTTTGTCGATCACGACAGTTTTCTTAATCTTTTTCGAACTCAGAATTCAAGTGTCCCTTGGTGTCTTGCAGATCCCCAACTCTGCACTGCTTGGAAGGCTTAAGTGAATAATTAGCATATCGGCGGTCTCTCTACGACCCGATTCCGCAGCACACCGGCATATCCTATAAGCCTCATGCAATCCGCTTCAGCCCCGAATGCTGAAGCCAGTTTTGTAGGTTGTGAAAATCTTGCGCCCCTGTCGATGCTCAAATGAGGCCACGCATATAACGCCCGCCCTGCTAGTAAGCCCCTGCGGCGAATAGGGCCTTAATGTAAGGATCCCACCAATATCCTCATCAGTTAGGGTCCGGGGTTTATGAATCAGAGGTATGGGGGATTCTTCCCCAAATGCCAGCTATAATTCCTACTATGGAAATCCGACATGTGATGGCAGTTTCCGAAAATTAGCGGTACCTCACTTGGGGCTCCTTATAATAAGGATCCTACTATTCCGGTTTTAAATTAATTAGGGCCCCCTTTTTTCGGAAAGTCCTTTTAGTGGTTTTTAGGATCCTTTTTTGGGGTTTGAATCCGAGGCCTCAGTCGATGCTGCGGTTGGCGCTTCAGGCACTCCAGCTTCTACGGCGTCGTGGAGCCTTCCGGACATGAACGTCTAAGGTGAGAAAAGTGATTTTCATGGTATCCCCTTGTAGTTCGAACGTCTGAGGTGAGAAAAGTGATATTCATGGTATCCACCTATTGTTCTTGTACAGATATGGTGTAATGTCTCCCAAAATCCTGTTAGATTCAAAAGGGGTTGAGCCATCCCTGCTTGACAGGGTCTCGGCAAGCAAGCTTCTGTAATTATGTGTTGGGCTTCTCACAGACCAGGATTCCGTATTTCGAGACCTTCTCGCTCCCGTTGCTGCCTTCTCAGTACTAGCAATAGTAATATGTAGTTAAAATAATATCTATAGCAATCTAGTAATTATGATACAGGCAACAGTAATAGTAATAATAGTAGTAAGAATAGTAACGTTCTGAGCTCGAAAGTCTCAAGTTTGGCTTGGAGCCTAAGGCTGGGGAAGGGAGGCAGAGGCTTCAGGTTCCCCATGTTGCCTTCAGCCCAATCAAGAAACAGGTGATCCGCGATATTTTGTGCAGCCCTACTTCGCTTTCTGTGCAGTTACAGGTGTAGGTGAGGCATGCGGGACATCCTTCATCGACAGAGCCCATTTGCCGAACCAAGTCCGGTCCCGACATGCTTGCAACGAGAAGTACTGTAATACCTAAGTTGGCCTCAACAATATCGGTCACAGCGATATCGATTCTCTTCTCTTGAGCTGCCACAAACTCTTGAGAACGTGAACGTGGGACAAGACGAACCACGAGGGAAGTCGGGAACCTAAATAGAAATATGCATGCACATACATTTCTTTCAGCTCGGAGATTTGGCTGTAGATTTCCAACTGCCGACAGAAGTTTTAGCTACGTACATGCATATGCGCAAGATGTCGTCTCTTAGGTTTGTTGCCACGGATCTGCGGCTGGCACATCCGAGCATCCGCCGTGTTGCGCTAGGAAGAACACGCCAGTACGATCTCAGGTCGTTGTTGGTGGGTATGCACGGCTTCACGAGTTGCCTGGCAGCTGATATGACATGGGTTTAAAGGGTTTAGGGTTCCATTTCAGGGTGGGGCTGAGTGGAGAGGCAGGGGCCTGATCCACATGCTCGCCTGATGCAGCCCTACTTTGCAAGTTTCCCGTGACAGTTGCATTGGTTCGGACTTGTAGCATGGCTTCGAATTCGATACGAACATTCTCTTGTAACCATGACTCTGATCATGACTGTGACTGTGCCCTCTTAAAGACTGGTTTTGTGTGCTTCGAGTTTCGTTTCAGAGTTTCAGTGAGCCAGAAGATAGGCCCGGCAATCGTCGGATTTGCGCAGGCTTGGGAGTTTGCATGGATTGCCGTACCCGGCCTCCGCGACCATTTTGGCTGACTCTCAGGTTAATTCCCTTGGCAGGGGGATTGGGGATATCTGACTGTGACAGTGAAGCCGTTAGCCATACCTTGGTAAAAGCACACCTGTCCTCGCTTCAACCTCGATATCCTTCCTAACTTTCTTTGTAAGAAGAGCCTTTGGGGCTAGCCAGGGCCGCAAGGGCATGGTGGGAGCCCAAAGTTCAGGGCTGCCTGTGTCCAAAGCTAGCAAGCCAAGCTTAGTTGAAGTTCGCAGTTCGCATGACAGGCTCGGGACTGGAATGACAATAACTGAAGTAGAAGTCCTTGTTCGCTGCCCGCGGTTGCCTGGCGGAATCATGGGCTTCGTTGACCCGTGGCCGGGACGGTATGAGCTGTCCATGAAGCTGGCCAGCGGCTGGGCCACAATAATTAGCATCATCAGTTTGCTGGCTTTCGTGCGACAGTGGAAACGAATAAAACTAAAAGCTGCACTGCACCCCCCTTTCTGCGACAACCACCATCGTCACCAGCGGCGATGTAGCCTGCTTCGTCAGCATCAACAAGTTTGCCTTTGATCAGCCTCAGCGAAGTAGCTTTCATTCTTACTGTTACATGTTCACCAGCACCATGGTCACCAAAAACCAACAATCATCGAACACTCTAATCGTGATACTGGCCATACCGAGCTTCAAGGCCTGATATTCCTCGGACACAGGGGTGTTTCGTCATACGCAGGGAGGCTGTCTTCGGAAGGGAAAACCCTAAACCCTAAACCCTAAACCAACAACGCACGCCGGGCTGAGGCTTCTCACAAGAGAAGTGCTCGAAAGCCGCACTCTCAACTCACAGCTGCCCTAGGGGTTTAGGGTTTAGGGTTCACTACCTAAACCAGCCCAAGACCCCTGGATTCGACCACCCCTTTCTAGGAAGTCTATGCAACATTCCCCCCAAAATACCCTAAACAAACCCAACCCCCCAATAAACCAAACCAAACAGGAGAGGAGGGAAGCAACAAACCAAACAAGAGAGCCCCCCCCAAAAGTCTCAAGAGATCGGATCGAAGCTGAGGTCTGGAGCAGGATGAGATCGGTCCCCAGGCCAGGCCCACCCGAACCCTATATATATATATATATATATATATATATATGTACCTCTTTTAGGATTCAGGCTTGAGGATTTCGGGTTAACATGGTAGCTTGCTGACTATATGGGAGTTTCCGAAAAAAAGGGCAAACCTAAATAGTAGGATCCTTATTATAAGCACCCTAAAGTTGCGTACCATATAACGACGAGATAACATGTAACCCAGTTCAGTAGTCTGTGATTTGTATAACTTGAGCCCGAGGGTAAGGAAAATAGAAAATCTCGGTTGAGGACCAGGTTTTTTGGAGGTGGAATTGGAGTTGGGGTTGTATATAGGGCTCATGCGGCATATTGGGGTCCTTTGGGCTGCAGGCTTTCGGATTTAGGCATGGGTCTTAGGCGTAGGCTAGGTCTAATTCTCAGCCCTCGACACATAAATAACGTCTTGGCCATGCAAACTCGGACCATGCCTGCGATCGTGCGGGCTCTTCTGCATGCCTTGCAATGCACTTCCGACTAAGCAAAGCACTTCTGCTCCCAGGTGCGATGTTGTCCTTTTCCTTTGACTACGCCGGCTATGGACTGCGTCTTCCAGGACTTCTTTCATGATTATTCCTCCGTCGCCAAGCTATACGGGCCGGTAGCATACCGCTTGCAACTCCTCCTGATACTGTTGCCATGCCGGTACCTAGTTGTTCAAGCTCCAGGATATCCACCCAGAGTTGTCCGTAAGTGTTACTTACAATGTTTGGATCGACGATGTCAGTATGGTTTGTGCGTGTCTTCGACAGCTTTGTTCCTGCTCGCTCGCCTTGAGCTCTTTGTAAAGTTCGTCGCCAGCAGCTTGCGAGGCGCAGGCACCGACTGGTAGGATCCCTACTGAAGCATCCATCCGAAATCTGAATTGAAGAACTCGGCCCTAAATCCAACACCCTAAGCGGGTTGGGAAGAAAGCCTAAGAAGCCCTGAACCCTCTGAACGCCTAGAAGCCCTACATCCAGGATCCGCAGCTTCTGATGATGCTAGTCTCAGCAGCCGGGCTACCAGCCGTGCCGCGGCCTTTAAGAAAAGACATGTCTGTACGTATACGCATAAATATACACACATGTCTATGTATGTATGTATGTATGTATGTATGTATGCATGCCAACTCGGGTTCATAGCCGAAAGCGAAATGTATGTATGCATGCATGGGTGTATGTTCGCAGAAGTATGTATGTTTGTACGCATGCATCTGTCAATGCAGGTATGTTCTTGCATGCATTCACGTATGTTTTGTTATTGTGAATGTACGTATGTATGCATGAGTTGTTGTTGTACTTGTGTGTATGCATATTTTCATGTATACGTATGGAGGTGGTTTTATGAATGCATGATAATGCATGCATGGATGGATGTACGTACGGGTGTGTAATTACATGAACGTGTTTGTGGGTGGTTGCTGTCATCCGTTTGACTGCGAATACACAGATACACACACATGCATGCGGCATGAATGCGTACAAAAGCACTTGTGTTTGCGATCATGTGTGCATACACTTGTTTGTTTGCTTGTTTGATTTTTAGAGTGCACACACTGATGCAGCATTTGTCCATGTAAGGCTGGTATGTGTGACTCATGAAGCAAGCCTTATAATTAGTACCAGACTAGACCGCATGCACCAGTGAAAGTATGTGTTATCAGATGTAGCAACAGCCTCCGAGACGGGCAGAGAGGATCAGAGAGGAGTTCAGATGCCCTGCATGCGTGTATCGCCAAGCTCGCTCGCACTCCCTCCAGGCGCGAGCCTGTCGGGCAACCCGCAGGGCGCTGGGCAAGGCCGGAGGGACAACCCCGATCTACTGGATTACGGGCTAGATCCTTTTGTTACCGGGGCATATAATGTACGTTTTTGTTAGGCTTTGGGGGTGCAGGAGTGCAGGTAAGCGGGCCTGCTAGATTCGCTATAGATCTTGTCTGGAAACGAGCACCGAGTCATCGCGAAAGGGCGAGGATGCGAGGCTTGCCCATGAATTCAGGCTTGAAGATCTGCAAACCCCGCATTATCAAGAATTTAGTGCCCTGAACAGGCCCTGAACTATAGTTGTAGCCAGGCGGCAGGAAAACAAACTACATGTCATGCGCTACCCAAGACGCATGTCGCGACACCTCGAAACCCTATTCTAATAATTTTCCTTCAGTAAACAATAACTCCGAATCCCCTTCCCGCAAGGAGCTACAGACGTCCATGCCAGTGCTTTACGCCAGCGCAGCTTGAACTCGAAAGTTTATGGCTGGGATTCACGGGTCTTTCAAAGCAGGCGGGGTTCCCCATCCCCTGTATTAAGCTCATCACGCAATTTAGACGACTTTCGCTTGCATGAACTGCCAGTGGAAAGTTTACATACTTTGGGAAGGCCGGTCTGATGATGCTGTATCTTCTCGGTTAGGGTCCTCAGTCTTGCGTTTTCCGAGACTCGAAATGGAGCCCAACGAGAAATTCCAGTCTGCGACGGCATGTCTGTACCCCAAGGAACCTCCCAAGCCAATGCTTGCGAAGTCCATTAACATTCTTCAGGTTGCCATCTTTAAGAACTGGCCTCTATACAGTTGTGAGCTTAAAAAATACCCCAAACTCAAAGCACTCGAGGCTGTAACCGAAGGGGCACGGCCGGAGGCAAACACCCGAAACAATAAAATGCAAACCCCACAGCCGGACAGCTTCTACCGAAAGCCAAATTTAACGAGCTACACCAGGCCATGCCGTCCATTTACGTGATTGGCGGCGCTTGTCGCAACCTAGGTCTCTCTGCTGACAAGGTTTTAGGGGTTTGGAGGCTTTACAGCTTCTTTACTGCAGGCACGGCTTAGCATGATCCATGGTTTTGTCTTAGCAGAGCTCTGGGATCGACTCTTATTTCCAGCAGTGAAATCCAGCACTGTTCGGCGCCGATACGTGGGGCGTGAACCTTCTCATGTGTTGACAGAATATGTCATGCCCGAAATCACGAGCTGAAAGCTTTGGCCAAAGCCCCTGTCCCTTCCTCCTTGCTTCACTCTCGTGTCTGTTGGCCTGTAAAGAACGAAGATCTCCAGCACGCGTCATGCTTTTTATTCGGGAGCCTGTCCGCGAAAATGTGCGTCCCGCTGCGAGATGAAGTGAAGCTGAGGTGTGTTGAACGTCATGAAGCGACTGGATGCCGGTGGCACAGAATGGCAACCAGTGCCATCTATGCAGCTGAGCTGTGACCATAAGATTTCGGAAACCGCGGCTGCACCATTTCCACAAATAGCAAGCTCACTTGTACGTCGCTGAGCTCCCTCGTCACTTCGATCCAAGCCGGGGCTGATAGTTTAGACAAAAGCAGAGCCGCTCAGCTCCATGCAGATGTAGTGGTAGTGTAGTGAGATGTCAATTACTGTAGATAATTATCAAGCAACTGATTTTTTTGTTGCAGCTGCTCTCTTGCTGCGAAATCCTTCGCATGAGTGGCCCGCGGCAATGCTTGTACCCACACTGGACATCAGAAGGTGTTCGCGCTCAGTGCTGTAAGTTAAGAGGTACGATCTTTATGCATCGCTTCTTTGGGGCTTGTGGAGACTGTGCGGCACTGCTGCCCCGGGCTTGGCCTGATTGCTCAGGCCCAGCTCCCGAAGGCTTTGTGCCGCAACCGCGTGCAACGGCTGCCTGGCTGCAGACATGGCAGTCTTCGTTCTTTCATCCCTTTCCTATTCTCGTTTGCTCTAACCTGAAGTGGGCACTTCCCTTCTGCATTGAGAAGACGGAACCAAACGGCGCATCCGTCGGAGCAAGCAGATGCCATTTCGAAGTGCGCCGTGTAGCAGATGGACATTCAATGGCGCCACCTTGCACCGGGAGGTGAAAAGCCATCAGTGTGGCTGGAGAATAGCTTCTGTCCCGCTTCTGCATTTCACATTTGTGTGATTTCGTGACGCCCGGAAACTCAGGTTATTTGTACGTCTTCGGGGGAGAAGCTGTGAGCGTGATCCCTGGCACCGGCTTTATACCCAACTCCCTGAACACCATCGACGGCATGCTCAGGGCCACCAGGATGATTTCAGATTGCCTGGGGTTTAGGGCTTTAGGGTTTGGGTTTAGGATTTTGGGGTTTAGGGGTTTTGGGGGTTTAGGGATTCTGCTTTGGCAGCATGCCGTATTCCTGGAGCCTTCGCGACATAGATGTGAAGCGGATGCACGGCACTTAGCCTTTATGAGTGGAGTCTTGGTCGTTCTTGGTTGAACACCGAGCTGGACCTCCAACACACACTTTCATGTGTAATAAGTGCCGGTATCCGATGGCAGTGAAGCAGCAGTCTTCATGGCTTCAGCCTTGGCAGACAAAACTTGAACCACACAGCTTCAACAACAAGATTCTTTACTGTACCGTACTTCAAGGTGTGCCCAAGCAGCCATGAATTTGCGCCTGCACCATCCCGCACAAGCTTGTGTGAATGTGCCGGACCATGTGAGTTGGTCCTGCCTGAAAGTAATACAAGCCTTTTGCACTCAGGGTTTAGGATTTATGGGCCCTTAGCCAAAGGCGACCCTTTCATCAACCGAGGACTACATACAATTGGATTGTGCCGAACGTTTCGAGCCTTTGCACGGCACGTGGGAGGTGGGAAGTGCTGCACGTCCTCAGGGATTCCAGACAGGGCTGTGTTTGCCAAGATACCAGCACGAACTGCAGTAGACACTATAAGAAGAGTTGTGGTGTCCGCACTACTGATGGTACACGAATACCGGCGATCTGCATGGTACAGTGCCGTTCTGCAGCAGCAGGTCCTGCCACCCATGCCCACAGCCCGTGCTGGCTGTGCCGCAACGACGGCCGACGGCTTGATCTACGTCTGCGGAGGTGCATGGTGCTTGATTTGTGTGTGGCATTTTTTTGCTGTCGCTTCCGATACACTGGTGGAATCTCCTTGATTCAAGGATCTGCCGGTATCACATGTGCAACATGATTTACGTGATTGTTTCCTCTCAGGCCGGCTGTGCGAGACGGTCTTGGCAGCAGTGGAACGATTCGATCCAGGCCCTGAGCCAGACTTCTGTTTTCGGTTGAGCTGTGCCAGCTGGTTTGCATGAATCGTGCCTCTTGGAATACACAACCGTCACGCTTTACGCTTAAGGCCATCGATGTCGTGTGCGCGTGAGCCCCCAAGTTGCCAAGTAGTTGCTAGTTGCTACTGTAGCGGTTCCAGAAGGAAGAATCAACACGCTCACGTGCCGACTCGCCTGAAAGCCAGCTTGCCATGTTGCAGACAGGAATCGAGCGATGGGAGATGCTACCAAGGCAAGGCAAGCTCAAGCTTCTCGTAGCTGCAACAACTTAAAAGGACCACAAGCTCCAAGCAGCACTCCTAAGCTTCATCGGACTTGCGAGGGCTGAGGGCACCAGAATGTCTGTTGCGATGGTGCCAATTTGCATGTGATCATGTGTGCTCAACTGCTTATGCAGGTCTTATTCCGTCGTTCAATGTGTGTGTGTGTGTGTGTGTGTGGGTGCGCAGCTGCGACTGGTTGATGGCTAATTCATACCTGCAGTTCCCAAGGCTCAGGCTTCTTCAATCGTTAGTTGATATAGATAGATGGATGTCTTCCCCTCACATATCCAGACAGACCTAAACCCCAACGGACCCAAAAGGTCCAAGGAACTGTATAGTAAACATTTTATGGTGTTGAGTACCTACTATAATGGTACTTGGACCCTTTGGGGGAGCCTCATCCGGAGAGTCCGAGTGTGTGCTCCAGACAACCCACTGCACGGAGCGGCTGCGCGGCTGCGACGGCCAAGGGCTGCGTGTACATCATGGGCGGCAAATGCACCGAAGATGCATCTTAAACACCGAAGCAGCACGATGAGATGTGGGATGAGCGTCGTTGCCATGCACTACTGCATAGCACTGTGTGACGATGTTGATATGTACAGCAGTTTGCCATTATGCAAAGAAGTCTTGCGTGGTTGAGTTCTATAGACCTCATGACCAGAGGCAGCAACGGTCGTGTTCAAGGCGTGGCAGAGCGCTTTCACCCCACTTTTGGAAACTTGGATCGAGTGAAAGATGATTTCATGCAGTTTAAGAGTTTCCGATGAGTTTGGGGAGCTTCGTCACCTGAGCCAGCATATGGGTAGTTGTCAAAATTAAGGTCCCCTTTTTGGGTACCCTAAATAATAGGTGCCCTCGCCTGCTTGTCTAGTTGTGAGTGCTCAAATAATAGGTGCCACCCAGGGACCATAATTTTGACAACCACCCATATCGCGAATGGGCGCCTGTGATAGGAGAAGGCGGTTTAAATATTCCCTTCTCCAGGCAGGAGGTACAGAGAAAGCGTCCAAGAACAATGGATCGGTTGCACCAAACCGTGGAATGCAAATCTTGCCATGAATTAGTTAGACTGCATCATCCACCATCCCTTTTGGAAGTCAACATGCCTGTTGTCCTCGGTCGGAGCCTGCCGATCTCAAGCCATATTTGTGTTAGACTCGGTATCCTCACATGATGGTAAACCTGATCCCTTTGCAGTCCCTTTACCCTACAATGTGCCGGTCGGTTTAGGAATATGGGCTCCTTTAATGCGTCGGCTCGGGGGCTAATTCCGACCGGTACCAACAATTTGGGCGGTCTAATTAATGCGTTTTTTTTTGGCTAGGGGGATTTTTTGGTGGCGGGGCTGTGCTATTTGCTGATGGCCAATCTTAATGCAGCCACGATCTAAACCCCCACCCAACCCTAAAACCCTGGCCCTGAAGCCCCAAAATCTCTTGCAGAATTGTTTCGCTTATTGGGGCGTCAGGAATGGGAGTCTGTACTACTACTGTACTACTATTGTACTATTGTACTGCTACTGTATGCCTTGCTTATTGGGGGGGGCTGCTAGGGTGAACCGCCGAATCGGGGATTGGACCCTAGCTCAAAAGAGGCCTCTCCAGTACTAAAGTTTGTATATATAAAAAATTCAGGTTTGGGTCCAATCTGGACCGACCCCCCTTTGGAAGGGTTTAGGGCTTAGGGTTTAGGGTTTGTTATAGGGTTTACCCTAATGCTCTTTTGGATGTCTGGTGCAGGGGTTCGGGTGTGTGTGGCGAGGGTTCGGGCCTTGAACCTCGTGACGACGTGCCGGGGCTCTGAGTGATATCTCCTTGAGGGCCCCCGGGGCCCAGGATATGCAGACCACCATCAACGTACTTTCATTCATGTGCATAGAAAGAACGTTTTCCAGTACAACAGTTGACATGTCGCCGCATGGCGTTTTGCCATGGTTCGAGGACAGCCACGAGGACTGCAGAAGGGGAAATCTGTTTGCATCTTCAGCTTGCGTGTGCATGCATGGCCTATCCCGATGTTTCTCAAGGGTGTGCATAGATGTGTGGTTGTCGCCATGCCTCGAGTCGATGTTGACACACTGGCCAGTGTCTTGTCAGAGTGTGTTGCATGAACGTGTGAGTGTGTGATTTTGTGTGCCATGCAGCATGCAAATGCCGGCCTAGGTGTGCTGAAAACATTTATTCCATCCTCGGCTTTCATTCACTGCAGTGATCACAAAAAGCCTTTCAACACGTTGTTCCACCAACTCAATGACCATTGCAATGTCGGGTTCGAAGACCTTGAGCACTACCTAGACTTGGTACTCGCGCTTTATGAGAAATCACCTGAGGGCGCCTGGGTATGATTCAGTGGCTTTGTTTTTTGTATGTTAACTTTCACACAACTTGTATGACAATGTGTTCTTGCCTTTCATTACCCAGTCGACTCAAGGTGACTTGAGGGTGGTGGATCTACAAATGACATTCCACAAGATCGACACCGAATGTAATGGTCGCCTGAGTAAGGCTAGATACCAGAAAGATCAGAGGCAATGGTGCAAAGATGAGATTCAGCTGCATCGTGATATGTAGGTATGCATGATGCTGTTTTTGTGTTGACAAGGGTTGTCATGCATGAGACTTCAGGAGACTGATGTTTTGTTTGGATTGCTGAGCTATGCGCGACGGTACTGGCGAAAGAGCTTGTCGAGGAAAAGCACTACAGAAGTTCCCTTCCTTTGCATATGAGCATGCAGTCATGTATTCCTACCGAGTGTGGTGTGTGTGTGTGTGTTTCTGGAATAGCTCATGCAGACAAGGTTGCAGCGAAACTCCAAGCTGTGTTGCGAACGAACCCCAAAAAAGCTCGGCCCTCCTGTCGGAAAGAACAGAAGAGGCTGAAGACATGCAAAAAAGAGCCTGCTGTGGATGATAAGCATGTCAAGGTTAAGGCTGAGAAAAATGAGAAACCTGTGCCGTGTGTCCTGGCTCCGGATAAAGAAGTCTGGGAAGTCGACAGCGACGACTCAGATTTAGAAATCTTGGTCGTGCGGCAGTTGAAGCCGATGGCTTCATTGCCAGAGGTGGGGGCAGTTTCTTTGATGCAGATAAAGGGTTGGCCGTGGAATGAACTTATATTTAGTTTGCAGATGGGTATTACATAAACTGGTGTAGCCAAGGCCTGTGATGAGGAGCGAAGCTGGAAGCTCCTTCAGGCCTCTCAGCTTGCATGGTTGGATTCATGTGTGATTTAGCCTTTATAGCTGCAGGTGGCCCGGCAGCATCCGTGCTATGAGCAGTTTCGGTGCATGCACAGAGATGAAGGATACGATCCTTATTTGCACTTTTCATATCATATATACACATGCATGTAGTCTAAAGATGTGTGGGCATGCCCAGGAAGTATTCACTTTCATCGACAAGATCCCGAAGGATTATGAGCTGTTCCAGCAGTTTATTGCTGCTGAAGAGCAGCGGCAATCCGCTGCTGTGGCACATGTGCAACGGATGAAGATGCACGAACTCTTTGAGGTGTTTTGTGCGGAGGTGGGCGCCGAAGCCCACCTTTGGGGTCAGGACCCTCAGCAAGCAGCTACGGAGTTGAGTTTGTTTGAAGAATGGCTGGCAGAAAAGGAGCATGCCACTCTGGCTGCTGTTGCTGCAAATGGTGCTTCGAACGAAAGCCAGGCAGCTAGGTTGCTGGATGTAGCGGCAAATGCCGAAACGCAGCTGGAGTATGATGCAGTGACCTCGTTGCAGTGAGCATGTTCACAGCTTGTTGTGTGCTGCATTGCTGGTGGTCTTGATGTCATGCCAGCATGCAACCTAAGGAGGAAGCTATGGCAGAGATTCCCAGGCCCGCAGAGGATCTGGATGGAGAGGAATTGGAGGAGGAGCCGGATGCCCAAGGACGACCTCTTCGACGATGCCTGGATGGAGATTTGAAGCGGGTTGAAAGTGCATCTGCAGGATCTGCAGGATCGGCGAATCCTGCTTGTGGATCCGTGGAGATGCAAATGATCCTTGAGGAGCAGAAGCGTAACTCAGCCAAATCAAATCGGGGCCATGTTGCATGGCATGTGCTGTTTGTTTCTGTGTGCATGCAATGTATATTCAGGCAAAAATGATGAGCGCGAAAATATGATAAACTCATCGGCTGATGTGGGCGAGTTTCGTGCTGCTGGGGAGGCTAGACTTCCTTTAGATTCAATATAGACATCGTTGCATTCGCTCAGCTCGGCTTTTTTGCTGCAGCTTTGCTCTCACTCGATTCTCAGGAGGACAAGACTGCAGATGTGAAGCCGGTCAAAGCAGCAACTTGATCTCATAATACCCCGGTGTACTGAGTTTTATTGTTCATTCTCATAATACCCCGGTGTACTGAGTTTTATTGTTCATTCTTATGACCGCGAACCACATCTCTGCCCAGGACCCCGAAGCTTCGTTGAGCTCTCTCATGAAGGCTCGGCTCCAGTCGTCTGCCTGCCGAATGTATAGGGGGCCTTATTGGAATAGTAAGGGCTAATTCTGGAGGGAGGATAATGTAGCTATGTTTGTTCATGCATGGAACCTACAGTGTGTATGTATATATGCACACAGACTGTATATGTGTACACATGTGCTGCTGCAGGAGGAGAAGCCTTACAAGTACCCGATGAAAGAGATGAGCCAAGGCATGTTAGATGAAGCTGACTTACTGAATACAGAATTGGAGCCCCCCCGCTATGCCGAACAGCAATGTCTCCGCAGAGGCCGAAAGAAGAAAGTTGATGATGAAGATGATGAACCCCTGAGCAACATGGTAACTGCAGATGAGATGATGTTGGAGATGGAGGACCACTGCAGGCGAGAGAGTGTTGAGAAGCCCAGGAAGGAAAAAGGAGGCAAGAAAACAAGGAAGGAGCTGGAAAAGGAGCTCGCTGAGGAGCTGGGCATGGACCATGAAGAAGGAACCCAGGATGAAGAGGAGGATGAGGAGGAGGAGGAGA